CAAGAAGAGAGGCGAGACAGCAGCTGTGGCTGCCTGCCTGGTGGGGAGGCCCCAGTTACAGCCTGTAACACAGTGGGTGCAGGACAGTCCATCCCAACACGTGGTGGAAGGGACACTCACTGTCCAAAGCAACTTGTTTCAGAAATGTTGGGATTTTACCCCTGAAAATGTTTTTATGGGTAAGTGACCTTTAATTGGCCAAAGCACTGCACAGATTTTCCCCCCCTCTTAGCTACTCAAAATATAGCAGGCTCTCCTGCCCCATCACTGTTGCATGGAGCACAAACAAAAGCATTGTCACCGAGCACTCCCATGGGATTAAAGGCCTCACGTTCTGAAAGTAGGGATGTTCATTTTGCTTTGAAAGTTAGTTTCTCTGCCTGGGTTTTACTCTCAGGTTCTTCTAGTAGCCAGGGATGGTGACATTTCATCCCATCATCGCCTCTGTCAAAAGTCCTCACCTGAATAAAATGCTTGTAGTTAATACCAACAAGGTTCCGGGTAAGCCCAGGAATTAACTCTTCCTCATAAAAGTGTGGTATAACACAGCTGGTTCATGTTAGATCAAGGTGGGCCCCCTCATCCCAAGGTCAGGCTCCTGGAGGGAGGGTGGCTGTAAGCCCCAGCTGTGTTTTTCCTTTGAAGAGACAGTGCCCAGCTGCAGTGACTGTGGCATTTGCCATGACAAAGGGACATAGCCCTGTGAGAATTCTGGCTCTCCTCATCTGGCTCTCTTCATCGCCCTTCTCTCTTTCCCTCTAAAGCCTTTTTCTGAATTCTCTTCCAAATGTTGTGTCTCTCTCCTCACCCCTGACCTCCGAAGTGACCAGATTTTACGTGGAACCTGGGAATCGACTGGGAGCTTTTAAATGGTGGCAACACCCTGGCCCACCCAGAGCATGAATGTGCGCATGGGTCAGGGAACAGGCCCACTGTGTGCCTCAGTGAGGGGCCGTGAGACCCCAACGCCACCTCTCCTGAGATGCCAAGTGCTTGCTGGGTGAGCAGTGACCTGCGGTAATTAGACCCCGCGGCCTTGGGGTCCTGGGCTGGTAGGATCCTGAAGTCGGGTGTGTTTGGGAAAATGCAGTCTACCCTTGTGTCCCACACACTGCAGTGTGTGCGGGGCCACACACCTCATAGAGATCACCCGACTTTGGGGTGACTGCGGCTGACTGTGGTTCCCAGTTTAACCGAGAGGACAGTTGTTGGGCAGCTGGCTTATGAGTGAGAATGGCTCTGAAGCAGTGGGTTGGAAACCACAGTATGGGAGCCTTGTCTGTGATTCACCCCACACCCAGGCAAGCGCCTTTGTCTGGGAACCTCTGCTCTCTGGAGAGACGGCTGCTCCCTCCACCTCCCACGCGCCCCTTGGCCGTATCCTTGGCGGCTTTGTGTCTGGTGGGCAAGCGCCTCTCTCTTCACAGTGTTGGTCTTTCCCCTACTTACAGGCTCACCTCTGCTGGCCAGGGTCTGAGAGACCTCTCCCGGGGTTTGGCTACAGCTGCTCTGAGGTTATAGATTAGTTGGGGGGGCTCTTCAGTGTCTTGGACACTCAGGATTACAGGTCTTTTCTAAGCAGGAAACACTGATAAAAAAAGTGACATCATCAGCCCTGCCCCCAAGAAGCTGGGGGAAGTAGCCTGGGCATCAGTTCATCCCCTCACTTGGGAGAGAACCAGGCTGGGCAATGACTGCCCAGTGTCACTGGTCAGTAACTGAGCGGGACAGGAATTTCAGGACTCTCGGGAAGTTCAGGACTCTTGGTGACTACATTCTGCCCTTTGAGAAAGTGTTGGGTTGAACTCATTCACCTTCAGAACCATGACTGTTGAGGTACCTTTGTTCCCACTTACATGTTCAATGCTTGTGGGTTCCAGTCTGGGCCGGGGGAAGTGCCCCCCCGTTACTGGCTTGGGGTCCTGGGGTTGCTGTGGACACAGCCAGCCTCAGCCTCTGCTGTTTGGTTTTGGGAAGCGGGAGGGTGAGTCACGTTGAGAGTTTGTGCAGTAAGTACCATGCTGGACTCGGGCACACAGGAGCCGCATATCTGCCCGGGCGCCCTCATTGTTCTCCAACTGGCACTGCTCCAGGAACGTTCCAGATTGTTTCCTACCAAGTTACTAAGTTCAAGGATGGGAGGGGGAGGGGGGGCAGGCATGCTCTTTTTCTGTCTCCGCAGTTACATTCCTCTCCCAGCTCCGTTTCCATCATATCCAGTCATCCCAGGAGGACTGTCCTTTGTTCTTGGATTAAGCCCTGCCAGCTGTCCCTCACTCAAGCCAAGTGCCACACATGGGCCCAGGGATACTTCTGGGATCCCATTAGAGGGGAAACTTCATGTGTTTCGAGTCCCGCCTGTGCCAAGCCTCCAGGGAGCAGCGTGGTGGTGGTGGTGGTTGGGGGGGGGGGGATGTGAGGACAAAAGAACTATTGCGCATGAGGAGGCGTCAGCTGGGTCGGACTCTGCTTGGTCCCATCGCCATATTTGGTCAGAGAAGGGCCGTTGTTCCTATGGCTTTGTCCTCTGCTCCATCTGGTTCATCTGGGCACCACCTTTGCCAGAAAGCATCCTCTGGCTGCCACAGCTGGGTCAGCTCAACATTTATCCCCACATGGTGAGCCCTGAGATAGCAGATATGTGTTTCATCCATACCGCATGCCTGAAATGTCACTGGCACTCAGATGTTTGTGGACTAAGTGTGATTGACATATTAGAAATTCCCTTTCCTTGGGACATTAAGTTAGGGTCTTCTATTGACCTCCAGGTATGAAGGACAGGAAATCATCACCATCACACTGTCTACTGAACTCTTCCTCTAGTAAAGCACTGGGATGGGCTGATTGGGGCAGCACAGCCCTTCTTTCCCTTTCTGGGGGAGACGCAGAAAACATGTGCTTCCCTCCAAGAGGCACAAAGTATTATGAGAATATGGGGAAAGAGAAGGTGAAATTTGACCAACGAAATTCGACAACTCTTTAAATATGGCGGGTCTTCACTGAGTTGCTGCTGGTTTGGGAGGGGGCATGCTGAGCCAGGCTTGGTGCAGCCCAGTCAGGATGATGGCTGTGCGATGCTCAGAGGGGAAGCCGGTGATGGAATGCGGATCGTCCTGGTAAGGACCATGCCTTGGAGGCCTCTGAAGGCCATTTAGGGGAGTTTGGGTTTTTCCTGACACAAACCCATAGCATGAGAGGTTCCGGGGGGGGGGGGGGGGGCGGCCCTGTGCCACAGCACAGCCCAGTTGGGGGACTGGAAGGAGGCTTTGCAGAGGAGGGCAAGTTGGAGAGCTGAGGGGGAGGTGGCTCTGTTAGTCCTTGCAAAGCTAGAACTCGGTGCTACAAAAGCCCTGTGGCAGAACCCAGGGGACAGCACTGGTGAGCAGCTTAGTGTTTTCAGCCACATGTGTGCGTATTGGAGGGAATGGAAATGGATGCGGTCTGTGAATTTAAGGGATTTGGTGGCAGAGACACTTGCATTTTGCAAACGGCCCCCAGTTAGCCCTTCTGTTGGCACATAGCAGATTCCTTAGCGTCCACACCTGACTGCCTCTCATGTAGTTCAGCAGTGAGGAATGGGGGGGGGGGCATTGCTGAGCGCTGTCCTGAGGCCTCCCTGCTCCCCCACCACTACCCCCATTCTTTTGGTCCATGGGGAGCCTTGGAATCACACCTGACCTCATCCCCCATTTAGACAGGGACCAAGTACTTGGATATGCCCCTCTTGGCAGGTGGGACATGGTCCCCTACTTGAGCCGTGACCCACCATCTTCAGGGCATTCCTCCAGCTCCTGCCTCAGTCGCACCCTCTCCTTCCACATGTGTCAGCTGTTACCCACAGCTCCTCCCATCTTAGCTCTTTCCCGCTGTGTACATGGCATGCAGTTGGCGTTGAGGAAATGTGTCGTGTGAAGACACCATTTCTAGACTCTTCTGGGCAGCAACCCTGTGGGGGGAGCGGAAGCACACACTTTCAAGTCCAGGGGGTAAAGCCTTTAAGTACATGTCGTTTTTCTCATATCACCACTCCCATTGGTTGGCACTCCCCAAGGCCTGCGGGATGACACGTGCTGGGGCTGCCACATATGTGGCTTGAGAGGTTGGAGAAGGCGGGACTGTGACGCTGAAGTTTTAGGGTCCCTAGGACTCAGCTCCAGGAGAAAGAGAAACATTTGTGAGAGGATTATACACGTTTTAAAAGGGCAGGTTAATGGAAACAAGAATTTGGGGTCATGGCAATGCCATGAGAAATGGGGACGGACAATCACTCCCTGTGCAAGTGGACATTAGGGAGGAGCCTTAGGTCCCCGTTAATGGCCTCCTTGCTTTGATGGAGGGCAGAGGTGTCCAGGGGTTGCTCTTGTTCTTCTTCCCAAGGAGCTGTCTGGCCCAGTGAGCCCAGACCCATTGCATGGTGTCCACAGGCTGTTTGGAAGTGTTTACACTTGGTCCTTGGCATCTGACAAAACAGGGAGGCCTAAAAGAGGATGAACATGACCAGTTTTTCAAATGTCCCAGGCTAGTCTGGTCTCCTGTCCCCTGGTTGTGACTTCGGCCCCTTCTCAGAGGAGAGCACAGGGACCCTGACAGACAGGGACACAGGGCACACCTGTGGCTTTCTGGCGAGGTGCCTCCCTCAGTCAGCGGCCAGGTGGCTGGCGTGTGCACCGTCTGGCGCCCAGGCCAGTTAGCCACGCGCAGAGTCGCCTGTCCTGGAGACCAGTGTGGGCACTGCCTGCATGTGGGACCCCAGCACAGAGGGGTGTCTCATCACATTGCCGGGGGTGGTCACCTGGGTGTGGGCGCACAGTGGAGGGTCGTACTGTCCCATGGACATTAATGCAGATCTGAAAGCATTTGAGGGAATGGCCTGGGGACGGCTGTGAAGTCTGCCCTGTCATTTTCAGTGTCGGACTCGCCACCAGGTAGGGCCATGCACCTTACCTGGTGAGTGTCCGTGACCCAAGGGCCGCCCTCCCGCTGACGCCCTCTCCCCACAGGGTCTCCTACGACCCCGCTCGCTTCCCGCGGCTGCTGCCCGAGGCCTACTGCCTGTGCCGCGGCTGCCTGACTGGGCCGCGCGGCGAGGAGGACCTGCGCCTGCGCAGTGCGCCTGTGCTGCTGCCCACCGTGGTGCTGCGCCGCACGCCGGGCTGCACGGGCGGCCGCGCAGTCTACGCCGAGGAGTATGTGGCCGTCCCCGTGGGCTGCACGTGTGTGCCCGCACCCGGCAGCGACGACCCCGACGTCAAGGAGCGACTCCGGGACCCGCAGGGGGACCCCGCACGCGCCCCCGGCTCCTAGCGGAATCCAGCACATAGCTGCTGGGATCGACGGCGCTGGTTGCCGGGTGGCGCAGGGACAAGGCCTGCTGCAGTGTGTGCAGGGGACAGCCTCCACACCTAAGGAAGTGATAGACGGATGCTTTTTAAACGTCATTTAAAAGAATGTATACCTACTTGTTTCCAATAGGGACAGAAACTATTTTTATCAGCAATTTTGAGCTATTAAAATCTTACGACAAACATTGTCTTCACTTTGTCTGCTAGGTTTTTATCACACTTGGAATCCTCACATAAACTCTTTTTAGCTGGTGCTGTGGTCTGGGTCCCTGAAGCCAGCGTCCCCACCTGCTGGCACAACTTGAGGCACAGGGCTAAACTTGACCTGCTGCCCCTGCCTCTTACGAGTCTCCATCAGCTGCTGCAGGCGTAAAAGGAAAGCACAGGAGGCGCGGGTCACCACACACATATCCCAGAAATTTCAAATTGGGTTTTATTCACCAGTATGTCAATGCCACAGATTTACACAATTTTTTCACTTGAAAGTCAGTTGGGCCAATTTGTGGATGAGACCAGGCTAGAGGTGGTGGTTTGTGATGTTTGCTACTCCTCGGGAAGAACCCAAGTCAGGGCTAATTTTAAGGGCTTCAGAACTCGCCAGAGGAGAGTGGGCCAGCTTTCTGTCTGTACTGCAACGAGCTGAATCCTGACCTCCTTCTGTTGACTGAAGTCTGTCCCTAACAGTGATTTGTAAATGTGAGAAGTTCTTCTAAACCATTAAAATGACTGTCAGTGAAGTTAGGCTGCTCTTGTGCATCTCTGGGCTCAGCTCTGATGAGCTTGACTGGGTCTTAGGGGAAACGTGTTAAGATCTTCACATTATCGTAATTTTATGGTGGAAGTTTAAGATTTGCTTTGGTCTTAGATTCACTAGTCACATAAAGTGAATTAGCTCTTTGCTCCTGTGACACCCAACTAAGCCGAGAAGTGCCCTTTATATATGTCCTACACTCCAAGCTTCTGCTGCCACAGACATGACGCAACTTTGGCCACCCACGTTACCGTCCCTTAGTATGACCTGGACGGAGGGTACTGTCAACAGAAGTTGTACATGATACACACACACTGCTGAGCAAATCCGGATTTTCCAAATAAAATTGAAGGTGATAGCTGTGGATAGTTCTGTACAGATTGGGAAATTTTACCAAACTGTTCAAGCTCTTTATAAAAAGGTATCCCTAGCACGTATATCTGGAATACGTTCTCAGCCAGAAACAAGAGTCAGAGTTACTTTCTGTTGCTAGTTTAGATCAGCAACAAAAATCCATAAATTACAAAGAAAAATTGCTTTTCACACTAGTGATTTGGTGGTGGCTTCAATCATCACTATTGTGTAACGTTTCCTAGCCACTCCTCAAATATACATAGTGCAAACATCAGGAAAACAGTTTGCATGGAGAAAATGTCACTTTTATTCTTGAGTATTATTAGTTTAAACTTAGTTAAAAGGTAGCACATTCCCAGTGGAAGAAACTGGCCTGCACTCTTAAGTACGTACCCAGGTAGCACTATTTGTACTTTTTCCCTGAATGGCACCCTCACTGACTTAAATCAGTCTGTTGAGCACTTGCCCTGCAGCCTGCTCTGACCACACATGTGGCACTTGGCTGGAACCGGGACCTGCGCTATCAGCTAGGCATGGACGGCTGCTGCCTACCGCACCTTGATGCCCACACCCCACAAGCACCTGGCATGGCTCCAGTGCTGCCCCAGTGATCCACAGATACAGTGACAATAGCGAGCTGTAGGGGTAGCCGAATGGCTCAGTTGATTAAGAGCTTGCTCAAGAGTGCGAGCTCTGAGCAACAGCGGTTCAAGGCCTGGCCCGAGCTGAGCTGCCAACAGGTGGCAGGATGGCTCAGCTGAAAAAAAAAATAAATAAAATAAATAGCAAGCTTTCTCCATGGTCTGTTTATTGCTCCAGCAGTTTGTCACTTCCAAGTGCGTGTATTTCTTGGTACAAAAGGTAAGTTTAAATGAAGTCCCTAGGCAACAGCAACTAGATGTAATATGTTGAACTCGGGGGGCAGTGACCCAATATTGGGGGGATAATGTGTCAATGAAGAATGAGTTTATTGGGCAGAATTTTGTTCTTGTTAAAATGAAAGGGGTTTTTGAGATGGAGAGGTTAGTTGTGTCATCAGACGAATAGGTAAATTTACGGGCCAGAAAAATCACACCAGCTAAAGTTCAAGCACACCCCTCATAACACGTTACCATGGCTGACGTCACTGATGTGGGCAGGTGCTGTTTCCAGGCTTTGCAGAGTACCAGCATGAGATTTAAGTTTCCTACCGCGTTCTGTCCTCTCAACAAAGGGCCACAGTGCCTGTTCCTTTAATCCTGTCTTGAGGGTTTCGTGGCAACCCTCAGAATGCCGTTACCATGGTTATTACAGAACTTTTCCTAACGAACTGACTTTCTAGTGTATGCTTGTTTTAGAAAACCAGAATCATTTGGAAATAGCAGTCCAAAGACACTGGCTCATGCCAGCCATTCCACGGACTGCATCTCTTCTGTCCCAGCAAAGGGAACAGGGTCAGTTTCAGTAACTGGGCCCTGCTCCAACTGAAATGGGGCTCAGGAGTCATCAGGCTTTTGTTGTCCAAAACCCCAACACACAGCTGAGTGTCACTTACCAGAAACCATTCTGAGTTGCCAGCCAAACCGCAGTTATGACCCTCTGCGTGCTTACTCATAGTTACCTGGTCTCGGCATAAACCTCCAGGTTAGGATGGACTTACAAAGATGTCTGCCATACAGCCTTGGGTTTTGTGGTTCTGTGTGAGGCGTGCGATGCAGTCACCTGAGGAGAACTCGGCCAGTGAGCTTCTGGCACGCAAGTAGACCCACGTGAGGGCATGCCCCAGCCTTTCTGGTCCTCAAGCTGGTGGCCCTGCACACTGTGTCTGCTGTGTGCACTGAGACATGCAGGGAGTGACCAGGCCTGGTTCTCGCTACTAGGCACAGCTGCAGGTCATGAAGTCAGGAGCAGACTGGAGACAGACATGAGTGGCTTGGAACCAGAGTCACAGAAGGGTGTCCAAAGCAGTAAAAAAACATGTTGGCTGCTTATTAAAATGTAATTCTAGTTTTTGTGTCAGGCTTTGCCCCTCCTCCCCTGCCCTCTGAGAAATAAGGTTTCTCTCCTCCTCTAAATACTAGGTCTACAGAACAACTAAAATCTGTTATTCCTAGGCTGCTCCTTGCCCACAATTCCTAAGTTACATTTCTACACGTGATTTGTTAAGGAAAATGCATTACTGCCTTAGGTAAGTTTTAGGAACTGCTTCATAAGGAAATGATACACTAGGGGTTATTTTTAAAGAGCACTTATATTTGACACTGTCCCACAGTATGACAACTGAGATCCGAGAAAGAACAGGATAGGCCCCACATAGGCCGCGTGCAGGCCCCAGCGTCCGCTCCCTGCTCCAGGATGCACTGGGTTTTGCTGAAATGAAAACAACCCCCGTCTCCGATTTTCAACCTCACATCACAGAAAACTGCAAAAATACTAGAGCTCTGTGTGTCCTTCACCTCGTTTGCCCCAACAGTGCCACATCACATAACTACCACGTCACAACCACGGATGGACGTGGGCATCGCCCAAGGCTGCACTCAGTTCACCAGCTGTCCATGCATGTGATTATGCAGTGCTGTGTCATGTGTATAGACTTGTGTCACCACTGCACCGAGAGTCCCAGCGGTCCAAGCACCACAAAGTCACCCCACCCCATCCCAGCCTCTGCCTCCCACCTGACCTGTCCTCTGTGTGACAGTACTGTTCCATAAATGGAAACGCAGTCCATGCCCTGCAATCCACCCATGTGTGGGTACCAGCAGGTGGCCCCTGGGTTGCTGAGGTACAGGGGGGATGTTTCCAACAGTACTGGGGTCCAGCACACGACACACGTCCCTCTGCTGTGGTGTTGGGTTTGCAGATGGTGCTTCCAAGTTCTCAGGTGAGTTGGAGCCTTTGCTGTCACCAAGGTGAGTGCAGAGGGCCCCTGGGCTGCGTCCTTGTCCTCCCTCCAAAGAAAAGTCCCACAGGCTCTAGGACACCAGTTCCCAAGGCAAGTTGTGTGTCCCCGAGAGATGCTAGGCCCTCGGCAGGCATCCAGAAGGAGCCCACTGCGGGGACGCAGGGCCCCGAGCAGAGGCCAGGGTCTCTGATACAGGTGCTAGCCAAGCCACCAAGCTGTCCACACTTCTGTCACGCTAAGTGAGGACAGCAGCCAGATGGCTCTGAGATTTTTCCAACCACATCCCACAGATTCAAGCTGAACAGAGCCTGAGCTCTGATGGGCTCCAGGAAGCCCAGGGAGGTACCTGCCCTCACCTTGCGAGCCGGTGTGCGTGGAGGTCTCGGTGCTGTGACAGTGTCCTTTCCTGCACTCAGACATCATGATCTAGCCCCGAGTCATAGTTCGCATAACAGCAGAACTCGTTGGCCAGCACCCGGCAGTGTGTCGGGAGGAACCTGCAGGGCGTCACTCCTAGGAGTCTGGCTGCCTCCTCCTTCAAGACGGCACCTGAGGACAGACCGGGTGGGCTGAAACCAGCAGCCTGCCGGGTCGCCAGGCAGCAACCCCCATACTCAGCAAATGTGGGAGTTGGTCTCTGGTCCCCTTTACTTTCTCCCACACTCTTGCATTATTACATCTGCAAAGCTGATGCTTATAGAGCTTTTGAAACACATTTTATCCCACAAACAACACGAGGAAAGCAAAAACAATTACCAAAAACTGCTATTTTCCAACTTTGATCAAGAACCCCTTTTCCAGTAACGTTCAGTCTTGCAAACCCATGTGCACATTCACAACAGCCCTTGGCTGACCAATCCCAGGTCCCTCAGCCACTGCTGTCGACCGTGGCCCTGGGGGCCTGCGCACACATCCCCTGGACACCCTGCACAGGCGGGAAGCCTGCACTGCCCACGCGCAGAGCCCAGAGCGCTTCAGCCTTGTCCGGAAGGCACCCCCGCCGCCCCCCGCCTCCGGCCCCTGCCATGCTCCACACGCTGTCTTAGCCGGACAGCCCCGCGGAATGCCTTAGTCCCTTGTCTAAAGCAAAGTACTTCAGACAAACTGGATCCTGTCCCTTTGGGGCTGGATGCTTTCAGAGAAAATCTCAACTCCGTCCCACACCTGGGTCCCCGAGGGCACCGCTGCAATGCTGCTCGCCCAGAGAAGCTGGGGGAGCTGAAGCACAGCTCCCATGATGCTGTGATTCCTTCATCAATTACCAGGATTAGGAATTCATTTCTTCCATCTGTTTTATGTCTTTTAACCTAAACCCTGAAGCCAAGTGTATGCTCCATGAGGTCACCACGTACCCGCTGAGGTGCGCTCAGCCGTCCAGTGAACAAGTAAGTAAAAACGATCTCTGAACTAGAGTTGTGTCACACAATTCCACAATGGAGGGACAGCCCCACTGCTCAGCCCGGGGACCAGGGGACAGCACTGCAGAGCCTGACACCAGGCTGCCCAGACCAGAGGGGCAGTCACCATTTTATTATAGTTCTTGGTCAAATTTCAGCATATCCCTCTTAAGCAGCAGCTACCTGAGTGTCTCCAGGGCACTTGTGCTTTAACAAGCCTTGTCTCATGCTGAGCTGAGCCTCGGCTGTCACTGGCTCCACAAGCCCCGCCGAGTGCAGAGGTTGGGCGGCCATAGCTGAGGATGCTGGTGACAAAACATCACGATGCTCACCATGTGCCCGTGCATCATGCAAGCAACCCTGGGAGGCGAGCAGTGTCATCAGTCCCCGTTTGCACCAAGGGAACTGGGCACAGAGAGGTACAGAACCCGGAAGGTCACAGTGGGGTGGGGGGGGGGGGTGTGCAGGTACAGGGGCTCAGGGGCTCACACAGCTCCTGACACCTGAAGCTTAAGGGCTGCTGCCACTGACTTCCTGAGCCTCGGCCAGCACTCACCTGTGCATAGCAGAATCTTGCCCCGAGTCAGGTACCGGACAGTCTCTGCTGTTTTCCTGAGACAGTCCACAGAGAGGTAGGGGGGATCTGCTATCACTACGTCAAAGCTGTGTGCGGCGACGTCCCCAGGGAAGTCCAGAGGACGGCTGTAATCATAGAAGATGAAGTCTTCCCCGTATACGGCGAACCTCCGGTCAAACTCAAACAAGCAGACGGAAAGGAGCTTGCTGCGCAGCTCCCTCAGCTTCTGGTAAACGCTGGGGGTGCTCACGCACGCCACCCTGGAGGAGCAAGCGACAAGCACAGGGAGGAGTGTCAGCAAACAGCTGTGCGGCTTGGAGAACAGGAGCCAAGACGGGGTGGTGGGGGTGGGGGTGGGGGGTGTCTTTGCACAAAGGCCTTCCTGAAGGGGGCGCAGCAAATTTCGAGAGAAAACTTCACGCCCTTATTTAAGGAATCTGGTATTTAAAATCTGCAACTCGTAATTTTAAGGTATGAAAGGGATAAATGTGCTTTTCACAATTAAAAAAATGTAAACGTTAGGTACACATTACCTATTATTTCCACATTCCTTTAACATTTCAAACACTTTTAGTCTCAAACTAAACACTTCGAAGTTATTTTGTAATATCCATCTCTTGAAAGAACCCCAAATAAGTGCCTCAGTAAATCCAGTTTTCTCAAAGAGACATTAAAACTAGGTCCCAGTGCAGACAAGCTGTGATGAATCCCTGCTTTCTGCACCAGGTTCTGAGTGGCTGGCTTGGGTGCCAGTATTCCAATTGTTCATTTGTAAAACCTACTGCAAAAAAAAAAAAAAAACTTCAATATACAATTAGTCGACCGTGGTCCACCTGTCACAGGAGTACTGCGTGGCCCTCCGGCCCCAGGATGCTCCCGGAATGGAAGAGGAGGTAATGGGCACTGTCATGGTAAATCCACGGGATGCACTGGGGCCTGAGGACAGTGCGGAAGGAAACGGACTTTTTTCTCAATTCTCTCTGTAACTTTTAGGTTTTTATCATGCATATATGTTATACGTCCAAAAGAGTACTTCCTTTAAAAATTAAACTCAGCTTTAACCCTGTGAGCTGCATTTGTCACCAGTTAAATCGTCACACGTGCTGGCTGGGTGCCCAGGCCGCCGGACAGGCTTCTCGGCCATAATACAAAGGAAGCACATCCCCAAGCCGCGCGCAGGTTTGTATGCTTCGGTGGCGAACATGACGTCCCAGTCTGGGCGGCAGGGGCCACCACGCCTGGGGGGCAGGGGGACGCGCGGCCACATGTTCCCTGTGCTGTGATGTCACAAGTGACCAATCCAGAAGTGCCAATATAAACATGCTGTATAGAAATATAGGTGTAAATACCACAGAATCTATTGAAAGGAAGCTGACAAAAGGTGGCGGTGGACAAGGGGAAAATGAGCAATGGGTAGTTTTTTGAACAAGCCTTTAAGGACCATGGCTTTACATTATATGTTAACACTGAAACAAGTTAAAAAAGAAAACCAACATTGTTAAAACTTCAGAAAGGTCAAACGTTAAGATTTTTTTCTTTTAACACAAACTTGAGGGGTAGTGAAGAAAGCAGCAACTCGGCAAACGTTAGAGAACAGAGATGAGATGCTCCACAACCCACACCGAACGGATTCTGAGCGCGTCTCACTCCGCCTGGGAGCCCTCTTACCCCTCACGCTCACAAACCAAGAACCACACAGTGTTTGCAGATGACAGTTCAGACTGCTTACAAATCGTTTCGTCTAGGATGGACATTTAAAGCATTACTATAAATTAAAACAAAAGGGGAAATAACGTTTGAAGCTCACCTGCCACCTTCCCCAGCAGCCGCGATGGCTTCCTTGGCAAGTCGCAGAGCTGTCTCCTGGCTGTACCAAAACTGGCTCAATTGCTGTGACGGGATGAGTTGAAATCATTTTAGAATTGGCATAAATGTTCTGAATCCGTGCATGTATTTAAATTTTTTTCTTTTTAAAACGATTATTTTTGAAATGGCCTTAAATTAATAGCAGGCCCTAACTAATTAATGGCATGTCTGCACCAAACACCATGGCCGCTACCACCACAAAAGTTGAAAACCCAGCTTCTCCTGAAGGAGGAGTGCACGCCCACCTTTGTAGGAGTCTTGCCAAAAAAAACTGAACCTGAATCTAAGCCTCCAGACTGAACCAACTACCAGGATTACAAGTGCAAAGGTCCAAAGCAGGTGTTAACCCATACCACAGGGCGCCCCTCTCAGGTGGCCTCCTGTCTCTACCTGACCAAGGCTTCTTGAATTACTGTTTTCCCCTCTGGGGTAAGATGTTTGGCCTTCATCTTGCTCATTCTACTCATGCTGGCTGACGACTTCCTTTTAAATTTCTAGTTACCCTTAATTATCCACTCACATTTATACATTAAGGATGGTTTTAATGGAAAAAGTGGGTTCCTCGGCAATGCATTAAGCCCATTTCCCCCTTGGATGGCAGGGCCAGGGGCAAGTAGTGTGCTGACAGTTCAGAAATGCAAGTTTTAAATATTTACAAAAGAACATACGATCTTTTCAATACATGCAAGAAGAAAGCATTTGATAAAATTTAACACCCCTCCATAATTAAAAAAAAACTCACTCAGCAAATTAGGAATGCAAGGGACTCTTTACACTGATCACAAGCATCTAAAAGAATGACAGCCAATAGCATACTCAGAGTGACTTAACTTTTTCCCCATGTGATTAGGAACAAGGCAAGAATGTCTGCTTTCAATTCTCTTAGTCAACATCTTATGGCAAGACCTACCCATTGCATTAATGCAAGAAAATAAATAAGTCAAAAAAAGAAGTGAAACTTATTATTTGCATGTTACATGATACCAAGGAAAAAATGTTTCCGAAGACAGATGTTAATTGGATATATCACATATGAACTCACGTCTCTGTCTGTGCCTATGTTTGTATGTCTGTCTAACCATTCTCAGCTACAGAGAAGACGCACGCTGACACCCTCTCTCTGCTTAGAGGAAAGCTGGAGGAAAGCCTGGGGACGTAGCATTGAGGGGCTTCTGCTCACTAGATCTGGGAGGTGGCACTTTTCTGATGGCTAGCGAGCTGCCCTCCTCCCTCACTGGGAGTGCCACACTGGGCACAGGAGAGGTTTTGGCTTTCCTCATATTTTAAAAAATAAAAATCTTACTCTTCATATGTAAGAAAAGACATATGCACCCCTATGTTCATTGCAGCATTATTCACAACAGCCAAGATATGGAAGCAACCTATGTGTCCGGTGATAAGACAACTGCGTAAAACAGAGGTGGTACATGTATACAATGGAATATTACTCGGCCATAAAAAAAGAATGAAATCTTGCCATTTGCAACAACATGAATGGACCTAGAGGGTATTTGCTGAGTGGAGTCATAAAGACAAATGCCATATGATGTCACTTATATGTGGAATCTAAAAAACAAAATAAACAAAACAGGAGCAGACTCATAGATACACAGAACATTTTGATGGTCGCCAGATGGGATGGGGTTGGGGGGGTTGGAGGGTAGAGTGAAAAAAGGGGAAGGGATTAAGAAATAGAGATTCGCAAGAGCATTTGAGATCTTGCTTCCCAGCATATGTCATCAGTTTGGCTCAAGGAAACTCTTATAAAAATTCAAAAAATTGTTTACAAATTTGCAGTTATAAAAACAGTCATGGGGATATAAAATACAGCACAGGGAATATAGTCAATAATATTGCAACAGCGTGGTATGGTGTCAGATGGCTTCAAATATATAAGTATTGAATAACTATGGTGTACACCTGAAACTATTTTAATAATGAATATCAACTATAATTGAAAAACTAAAATTTTTTAAATTAAAAAAGTGTCAAAATTCTAAAAATATTGGGTCATCGGGAAAGTCATGACGTATTTTTCTATGTTTTTCAATGCAAAAATGTGTCATGACTTTCCCGATGACCCAATAGTTCATTCTAAGTAGTAGGATTAGGGCTAACTTATTTTTTCATATACTTTCTATAGATTACTTTTAGAATCAGAACAAAGTACATAGTATTTTAAAAATTAAGCAGAAAGAAAAGAGAAAGAGATGGGCTACTCAAGAATAATGCAGTTCTTCAAGCTTCTGGTACAGAAGAGTCAAGCTGGAGGACAGAACACAGAACGAAGGCGAGCAATAAGAAAGAGGCTTCTGGGTCAGAGTAACACTTAGAGTAATAGAAAAAAACATTTTTATCATGGTCAGTTTCAAACAGATGGTAAAGAGGAAAATTTTACATAACTTATGAGACCCAAACTTGACAGAATGTAAAAAAACTAAGAAAAACCACACCAACAAGCACATAAAAGCTTTATCTCAGTTGCAAAGGGATGGAGAAAGACATACGTCTCACCCAGGACACTCAGACAATTCATGCCTCATCTATTTCTCAACTATCTCCTTTAAAAATTGAAATTTCTACGTTCCAGTTCAGGTTAGGAGTTTCCCTCAACTCACGCTTGTTTTTCTTTTAACTCCTCTTTTTATTTGGACCATAAAAATACAATTAAAATACACATCACGCACCAGAAGCTATTCATATCTTCTGGAAAACTCCCTTTCATCAGTGTTTCATCACATATGGAAGCCCAGTAACCCACTTGCTGCAGTTTTCTCTTCCCACAGGGTTGCTGGGGTCCACAAAAAGCAGCAGGCAGCACCCACATACAGGGAGGCACAACTCAACACCAGACATAATGACAGGCCACTCCCCTGCTTGAAAAGTCCCCTCCTCTGATCAGCAACCAGCCTGAGAGCAGAGCCAGCAAGTCAGCATTTATGCCTTCTTAAAATATTCATGCACTGCTTTCTGGTTCAGCTCCCCAAATAGGTTATCAGCTCCCGAATGACAGGTGACATAGATTTGGGTGTTGGTGGGGGTTCACCAGCACTTCCTTAGAGATGTGGACACATTCACATACCCAGTTCTCTTCTATTACTCCAATGTTGTATTTGTCATCCCCATTTGGGTCGGGGTGTTGCTTCTGCTCGGCATAGAATTCCTGGAGAGCTGCTAAGGCGTGGGAAGAAAGCTGAGGGACGTCATCATCATCTGAGTCACTCATCTCACAAATTGTGACCTGCAGATAAAGAGCTGTGAGGTTTTTTCCTTCCCATCAAATAACAAAACAATTTCATCTCACAGCAAGAATCCAAACTGAAGATGAGTTTTGTTAAGGGAAACAGACATATTTAAATGAGATAAAATATTTAGAGGTTGTCCACAGAACTAGTTTAATGAATGCAGTTTTCCTTTAAATGCATTCAGCGTTCAGAGACAAGATTTTCAGTTTGATTCCTTGCAGAACAAAATTTTCACCATAAATATCTAAAGATATTTTGCTTTCTCCTGGTACCCCAATGGCCATGTGCAGACATTTCACAGTAGAGTCTCTGAAACAGATCTTTTTATACATTATGGTCATTGTTCAGGTGATCTAAGGCTCCTGGGTGTTACTGATAGGACAAGCAAAGGATTGATAAAACAGGAGCACAGAAAAATATGAAAAATAAAAGAGATTACAAGGAGAAAGAGAAGTAAAACAGGGAGAAAAGGTGTTTCTGTAGGACCTGATGGCCAGGCATAATTGCTTCTTGGGGTACTGGAGTCAGCCAAACTGCAAGATTAAGGCATAGCCCGCCTTCAGCCAAGTCTGCCCAAGTCCCCAGACAAATGCAAGTTCAGGGGCTTCCCCAAACCACCCTCATGTTCAATCATTTGCTAGAAAGACTCACAGGATTCACTGAAAGTGTACAAAGGAGAACCAGCCAAGGAAGAGATGCAGAGGGCAGAGTCTAGGAAAGTTCCAAACAGGAGGCATCACCCTCCCGGCATCCACGAGTGACAACATGCGTGGAGTCCTGCCAACTGGAGGCTCCGCTGAGCGTCAGTGTGCCAGTCTGTAGAGCCTCCGTGGCGTTGTCAAGACTGACTCCAAAAGGACCACCTGGATGAAGGCCATCTCCAGCTCCAGGTCCCTGACTGGGGCTGATACGGTCTGAGGTCCCTCCATGAATAACACATTGCTATCACTTGGAAAGTGTTTACAGGTTACCTGTCAAAAGTCAACCTCTCTTGAGTGAGGTCAAATTCCTTATAACACAGGTACCGAACACATTTATAAATAAAGTTCTCTAGGAGCACAAAAACAGCTCCGACTCTTTTTGAAATACATCTCAATTTTACAGCAAGTGATGTGCTGAAATTCAGTAGAAATTATTTAAGAGCTTTGGCACTTGCTCCCTTCCTACTTCAAGACCTATGTGGGTTTATCTGCTCCAAAAGCCTTGGCCTCAAGCTGGAGTCACCAAGGGAAGCTGGAATAGCAAGACTATTTCCCCAGGCCTAGGAACACTAGTTCCCCAAGCCAAGGAACAGTGTTCAAAATACGGGGAATTGCCCTTTAAAATGAGAAATTCCTCCAGATGCTGCTTTGTTCTTTTAAAAAATCAGAGAGCCAGCCATTCCACCTGAGAACCTCGTAACAAAAACAAAACCTTGAAGGTACCAACTACTGACATACCAGTGTACTTGTAGGACTCTCAAGAACAGGTAAGTCACGAAGTTACAGAAGACACTGTAAATGACTCAAGTTACATGAAGTTCAGGAACACACAGATGAAAGCAAGTGAAAGAACAACACAAGATTAAAGACAGTGGTTCCCTCTGGGAGTGAAGACAGGCATGCAGAGGAATACACATAATTTCTTAAATGTCTATTACATATCAGCAGAGACCTGTGCGTTTGATTCTGTAGTAAAAAGTGCCTGAAATGGCTTCCAGCAGCTTGATGCCTCTCCAGAGTATCATTTTAGTTTAATAAATCTTCAGGAAAGCATACCAGGAGCTATCAGGCTAGAGTGTCCAAAGATGTGTGTGCATGCTGCACAGCTGAGAACATATAGCAAACTGCTCTGCAAACTACCAGAAGGTTCATTTTGGTTGGGCATTTAGGATTGAAAGTTCCTTTCACTTGAAAAGAACTGGGCAACTATTACAATTCATGTCTCCTGGCAGAGGTGAAGTTCCTGATCAAAGCTGCATGACCATGTCTAGAATTGATGGACAAATAAAAGCATGTGTCCAAACCCACATACATATATCCTTGCTATAAACAGGAATATTTGAATTTTCATTTATTAATACTAAGCACTTTCCACAGCTGCATCCAGGGAGAAGAGCTTCAAATTGCAGCTTAAAACCTGTTAGCAAGTCATTTAGAAATATAACATGAAAACCATAAAAACAAACCAGGTGACTTTAAGTACAAAACAAAGAATTCTAAAGAGCAGTTTAAGGAAACTCTCACGGCTCTAAAAAAAATTAAATTTCAATCTCTATTTTGGTAGCATTTTATTTTAAAAGAAATCAAAATTTTATTTTAAAATTTATTTCAAAAATTATTTTAAAGCTGATGAAATGCATTCACTTGATAATCATTTGCTGAGGCACTACTTTGGACTAAGCACTGCTCTTGGTGATGGGAGTCAAAGTCTCTGTTATCTTGGAGCTTAGGCAGGGATAGATGATGAACAGTAGAAATAAAAATATGTTGGACAATGACAAGATCAGTGGAGGCACTGTGGAGTGTAGGGGCTGCGATTTCAGCGCTCAGACTGTTTCCTACATTACTAAGGGGAGTTCTGGGGAGCAACACCTAAGTGTGAAAAACTGAAATGCTGACATAATAGACATTACTAAAGACTAAGTTAAATGAACCTTAGTTTTAATATACTAATTTTGTTTTGCTTAAGTCACTACTTTATCATACCTTTAGCATTATGTAAAAATTTTCGAAGTGGGTTTGTGAAATTGCTGTGGGAGATTTCAAGTCCAGAAGAGTTGGGAGGTTGTTATTAAACTTACGCTAAGCCTTACATGGCCCACTCTGTAAATCAACGGTTCTCAAAGGAGAACCAGGTAAGATTTGCCCCCCAGGGGAACATTTGGCAAAGTCTGGGGGCATTTTTGGCTGTCACAACTGGAGAGGATGCTACTGGCACCTAGTGGGTAGAGGCCAGGGAAGCTGGTCAAGTCTGTACAAGGACAACCCTCCACAACACAGAACTATGGGACCCACAATGTCAGCAGTGCTAGGTAGGGTTGAGGACCCTGCTCTAGGCAGAAAGACACAAGTAATCGTGCCGATGTGGTGAGCCCTCTACTGCAAGGGCTGCACTTAGTGAAGAGCACGTGTGGGTAGAGGACGGAAGTGAAACCGCAGGTGGTTTAAGTTGTCCTTGAGGGAGAGGCCAGGATGGAGCATAAGAATGACAGAAGGAACAGCGTGAGCAAAGGTGTGGACACGTCAACGCGCAGCCTCGGCAGGCGTGAGTGGGCTCCTAAAGCTGTGCGGTTCCTTTCTCTTTCTACTGCTCTCCTTTCAGTACAGCTAATGTGACCTAAAAAGAGCGTACAGAAGCCTGGGATTCCCACGTACCCACTTCAATTAACGCAAGACCACCCCCACCTCAGGTCGCTCTCCGCAGGCAACTCCGGGAAGGCAGTGGGGTGCGTGGGAAGCACTACGCCCGATCTCCCTGATCCACCGCACGCGTGGGCAGGGCTGTCCCTGGCTACTCCGCTAGCCTCCGCGCGACGGACGACGGGAGCGGCCCGGACCTCCGCGCATTCCCGCTCGTCCGCCGTCCGGGAAGGGCCATGACCTACCATCCTCTCCTCGTCTCCGCCTGTGAAGCTACCCTGCTTTCCAAACGACGTACACTTTTGTTTTTAAACTAACTTGAAGAAATCGAGTTAGAAGTCACGTCCAGTAAGGACCTCTGGACCCCTGTAACCAAAACCCTTGTCCAGGCAGCCAGCCTGTCTTCACGTCCCCGCCACGCCAAGTCTCCGCCCTGGCCCTCCCGTGACCCTCTGACCCCGTCCCCGCTGTCCGCGGCGCCGGAACGGTCCAGCGGCCGCGCGGACCCCCACCACCTCGGGGAAGCTCCAGGCCCTCTGTGAGCTCCCGCAGCTCGCCGGCCGCGCCCAGACACCATTGACTGTACCCCTCCTTCCAGACCACACCGGGAAACGGTGAGAAACGAAGCCGCCCACTACCGACCCAACGGTCGCGCCGTGCGTCCACTCACCGCCACGCGTGCGCAGCCGCATGGACAGCCGGGAGTATAGGCGGGGTCAGCCGAGCAGCCCTTGCGCATGCGCATCCCACCAGCCCGACCCGACCGCCCGTGCGTCCCAGCCCCACTAGCAGCCCGCAGGCGCTGACTCCGGCTGGGACGGGATCTCTCAAGTTCCTCTCTCATTAGTGCCTGCGAAGAAGGCGGCAATACAAAAATTTATGGTTTTGATGAGATCCCCTTCAAACTAAATGTATTCCACTAGACCTATTTTGCACTTGAGAGATGTACATTTCACAAACATCCATCAAGGCTTCGTTGTCTACTCTTATAATCGAGAAATCAAGACAATAAATAAAGACATCAATTATTATGTTGATTAGAAAAAAGACCTCTAAATCCTGCACTATATAATCACGTTTCTCCTCGGTACACTTTGCCTCCCCAAACTTAACGTAAGTCCAGCCACTCGCACTTCTCATTTGGGGGTTGGCTGCGAAGAATGTGAGATCTGGTTCGTGACAGCTACTGATTTGCCGAGTAATAATGTATCAACCAACATTATGAAAATTATTCCAAACGTAGGGCACTTTTTGGTGCGCTGACCTGCTCTTACTCTTCAAAGCTTTTAGGTGTTTTTTTTAGTGCATTCAATATGTATTAAACATCTAGCAAAGTACCTGGCACAGAACGGGCACTTATTAAAAGGAACGTTCCCTTCCACCCTGGCAGTTACCAAATCCTAAGGGATGTATTTATTTTCCATTCCCCAAGGCAGTCAACCCATTTTACGTTCCTACCTTCATTTCCTTTACAAATTTTATTATCGTGCTCCATTCTATATATTCTGCTGAATCACTTTAAATCCTTTCTAGCATAAGTTGAGAATATAAATCAATGGCTCAGCTGCCAAATAACACCAATAGTTCATTAAAAAGGTTTACGACTTTGGGAGTTAAACATAATTTCTATTTAAAATACTGTTTCCAGGTCTATAGTAACTCATGCTTTATTTTTACTTGGGTCACTATGAACTGATGACAAATCTATTAAACCAAATATTTAAAAACCAGGTCTAACTCAACAAAGGAGCAGGAAAAAAAATAAACTAAAATCAGTAACATAAACCAAGAAACGAGACCAACTTCTATGGTAGTATATTTTTAGAGGTAGTGTTTCATACATACAAGAGACTGCCTTGGCTTAAAACATCACAAGTTAATGTTAAAGCAAATTATTTTTGGCTTGAAGCAGATCTTTTTAAGCTTTTAAAGTTTCAGTTGCTATCACAGCATATGAGACACAATAGTTATCTTTATGTAATGTGTATTACTATTTTTATAATTGAAATGACCATAGACGTCAGAAAGTTCAAATAGTTATACTTCCATCAACAGTGCTGACTGCTCCGACAACCTGCCAGTAATACATGAGATTAACAGATTCCTGGTGAAACATTTGTAATTTGTTTTACAAATCATAAAAAATTTAAACTATCAAAGGCAATTTGATTGGCATTGATGTAAAGGGGAAATTACTTGTCAAGTTAAGCTGAACTTGAACAATGCTTTCAAATCAATTTCAATTCAGGAATTTTTCCTTTTGTGTACTCAGAAGTGATTTTTGTTCATCTTGCTTCTCTTTAGAAATGGTGCATAAAAGAAATGGAGATTACTCTGGAAAGATCTAAGATAAAGATGAAGCCAGACTCAGTTTTCCTTTATGAAAATATTTACCTATAATTACGAGAACACAGATTCAAGTGTTTTTCTTCCATTCAAGTGCTTTCATCAAATTACTCAAATTAACCTAAGCATGTTGTAAAGCATGCTCCCTAGAATTCTAGTCCTATAACATGGTTGAGAAGAGACAAATAAGCTGAGGAAAATCTGATTAAGATCTTCACAACGTGCATTAGTGTGGTAATGCCTTTAACTTCACACAGCAAAGAAACTTGTTATTTCTTCAATTTATGTGGTAACAGCTAAGTTATAAAGAATTAGTGATGCATGAAACTCACTTTGGAAATTTGGATGTTTTTGTTGTAGGAATAATGAGCTTATTCAGCAGAAACCGAAGCACTTAAATTTTGTTTAACAAAAACACAGCAAATATAGTGAACTCTATCACAACAGCACCATGGTGATTGTGGCTGGGGCTATAGCGTCACATTGTACTGGTGGGAAGGTATCACAGTATGGATTTAAAAATAACTATCAGGTATTCGATTTTGTTAGGGCACAGTTATCTAATGGAGCAAAATGTGTTCTTAGACTTTAAATGTAATGAAATTTATCGAGCACCTATTATTATATTTTATCCATCAGTGTGTTTTACATTTTTTCTTTGGGAAGAATAAGGTATATGGAAAGAGTTCAGTAGGGTGCTGATTTATGTGCTAGCATTTAGACAGTATGCCGCCATCAGTGCTGTATGGAGTTTCTGAGCAAAAAGTTTTCTCATTAACATCACCAAATATGCTCCCGGCTTCCACTTAGTTTTAAAAGAATAAAATTGAAATGCCATAAGATTACAAAGAATGTACACAACCCAATCTGGGATCCCATGTTTAAAAAAAACACACAAAACAATTCATAATCTAATTAACATTTATAAGGTTATCATTCATAAACCACTCAATATAAACCAACTATTTTTAGAGATGTCTTTTAAGAAACAGTATCAGATTTCTATATTTGGGACCTTTAAAATTATCTATGGCTCTCTCAAATGACAGATGATTGGCCTGTGCCCAAGGTCCCCATCCTTAATAATTAAAAAGGGAAAACAAAAATTCAAACACGCACTCTGCTTTGTTCTGTTAAACCTGAATTTTCTTTATTCACCCTCGGAGTGGACTCAAATCTCAATGTAATCTAAGAAATATCATTATAAATCAATGAATATTCAAAGCAAAATCAAGTTTAAAATAAATATATTTTCAAAATGTATTTTCTTTCTTAAAAAATTAACTTTTCACTGCATATGTTTACAAGATTCAAGATTAGATAAAGGGAGGGAAGTGTAACACACAGCAGAATGTAATTTTCCACTTTACCTGAAAGACCAAAAAGAATGACCGAAACCACTAAAAATACTGGGTTGTTAGAAAAGTCATGACACATTTTTGCAACGAAAAACAGAAAAAATACGTCATGACTTTTCTGACAACCCAATATTTACTACAAATATGCCCCAAATCCAATGATTTAATGACTGACTCTGAAATTGTTTCTAAGACTGTGAGCTGAGACAAAAATAAATATGCTCAGTATTACGGAATATAAACAACGCATTTTTCTTTCTGAATCCCGGATATTCTGTTGGGGTTGGGTGTTCTCCCAGAAGGTAATGCAAGTCTCTATCTATACAGATATGTCATCATGTTTTTATTTTTAGTTATTTTATGACTGTGTAATGACCCCCAGTGTCAATCATCCTATGATGGTAAATGAACTAGCACCATTTCAATCACTTCCATAAAACAGTCTAGCTACCCACAACCAAATCACACATGGTCAAAACAAAAATGTAATAAAAATATTTAGTGAAAAGACACATTTTAACTCCCATTTATGGATTTAAAAAATACAAATAAAATTTTATCAACTTGATATTCAGCTTGTAACTGGCTCAATACATAGCCTTGATTTATTTCCTAAAATTGTACTGTACCATCTTTTGAAAAATTAACTGTAACTTTATACCTTCATTAGTAATGTTAATAGAGGTAAACAGTTAAAACAGTATATTTGTCCTTGGGTCTCTTCAAAAAACTGAAAAGTTTTAGTGTAAGTTTAAATTTTTAATATTTATAAATTTAAAAAATTTTACATGTGCTCAACGGTAGCAGTGGTAACATTTTGTGACAATGACACCACAAAGTCACTGCATTGAGCTTCTGTGTGCAGACAGGCGAGTGACACCCCCAGTCTTTGCAATGTCATCATTTTATGTGGTAGAAGACACCACACTGGAAGCATGGACTCAGAACAAATTTGAGACCCTGTTAGGTACGGGGGGCAGGTGCACTATTTAATTTCAGGCTTGGAAAGTTAGCTATTAGTACATACCTGACAGCTCCTAATAGCTGAAGCCTAACAATACAGATGGAAAAGGAGAAAAAGACCTCTCCACTGCTGGGAAGGCCTGGGGACAGGTAGCAGCAAACTCCAGTGGGGGAAGAGGACAAAGACCCTGGGGACGTGGATGTGCAGGCCAGCCTCCAGCTCAGCACCCAAGCATCTCAGAACAGATCAGTCTTCACACAAAGACTTCGGCTGGAAGCTAGGGACAGAAACAGGTCATGTCATCAGTCCTCTCCAGGACAGAACGGATGCCTATCTTTACCTAAACCAAATCTACTCTTTGGCTAAATATGTCATGGGTTCCCATCACTGTCATTAGGATGACTGTATTTCTACATCTAAATAAAATGTGTGAAGTTCAACTTGAACAATGGCACTTCAATTTGAGCTTAGTAATATACATAACTTGGATATCTTTTAAGTTTACAAAATCAATTGTTAAAGAATTCTTAAATGCAGTATTTCCTGGACATAGTTACCAAGTAAGAGAATATCCACTTACATTTGAAAATAATTTAAAACATTATTATATCCTCAAATCAGCTATGTTGTTTTGTAGAAGAATTTCCAGAAAATTATAATGTTAAAAACTCATATCCGAATCAGTTCCTTATTATCTAGTTTAAAAACAAAAACAAAACAAAAAAACCCTAAGAAGTTTTGAGGTTCCTTCTGTAATAGCAGTTAATATTTTATTCAGGAACCAATAATGATAATTATCTGTCACAGACAGCTAACTTAGTAAGCTCTAATGACAGCCACCTGTAGTGACAGAGGTGGCAAACAGAAACAAGTAAATTGTAACAGACAAAAATCATATTTTAAGGATTCAATCGACACTGTATAATATACTAGGGTACTCAGACTTGAAATCCTTGAAATCAACAGCTCGTTCCCTTCAATGCTTGAGGGGTTCACACAAGTATTAACAGAAATGGGAAACATGGTGATATCAGAAATACAGAGTCAACATTTTTGGTAAAAGAGAAAGTTCAATCAAAGACAATAAATAAGGAGAGTGTCAACTGAGGGGGGAATTAGAGAGATGCTGCATTTTGAAACAAAAATTGTGAAAAATAGTAGTAACCATCTCGTCTGAACAGAATGTAATATAATGAGATACATGGCTTACAATGAAATAAGACTAAATTCTTAAAATTAGTTGGAAAGACTGCAGTTTTTTTGTTTCTGTTTTTTTTTACATACAATGTCACACTTTATACCAGACAAAAACTCAATGCAGTGATGTTAACATGTCACTATCTGCCTTCCAGCAAATTAAGACAGCGAGGCGGAAAGACCCACATGGCGGTGCTGAAAAAGACACTGTCAAGTACTGTCCAGTCATTTAGCTGCCCAGGCAGCCACCTATCCGGAAGGACGGTAAAAAGGAGCCAATCCTTTTAACAAGGCTACAAGAATACAGTTACAGGTGCTATAACATGAATACAAATTGTGACAGTACAAAGTCCTTAGCGATTGTGCCTTGGGAAACAAATGGGTCAAGGAAAATAAAATCGAAGAATGAACTGAAAACTAGAGGCTAAAAGTTACTTACTATATATGAACAGAAATTTCATATAATATAAAATTTTAAAAAAATCAAATACTCAACAGTGTCCCTTTAACATATATAAAAAGGGGGCACAAATAATGTTTTTGTTTTTAAAACTCTTTTGACAACTTAACAGTTTAATAAAAAAAAAAAAAATCAATTCGTCAGAATTAAGCCAGTATTCTGGACACCCACTGGGCCAAAAGCATTAAAACAAAATCCAAAAAAAACTGGAAAGCCAATAAACATAGCTAAAGACAAAACTGGACAAAATAGAACACAAGACCCAAAGTAAACAAATACCCAATCGGGAACACACACACACACACACACACACACACACACACACAAGCGCGCACGCTTGAAGAGTCTAGCTGTTGCAATTAAGTGGCATCCCCATTACCTAAAAATGGTGGTGGTGTTATTTTCCAGTTTGCCACTAATCAACATTCTGGTGATACCTTAATGTACTGTTTGGTCCAAGCTGAAGTAAATCCTGTTTTAATTAAAAGTGGTCTAATGAAACTGCAGTATTATAATAGCATCTGGGCAAATTTAGCAAACACATTTCCATCTAGATAAAATTTGTTAAATACAGATACCTTTTCATGTACCAAGGCATTCCTTTTCTACTCCTGTTTATGTTCAATAGTAACCTGGTTCTCGTTGCCATGGTGCATGGACCTGCCCAGTCAGTGACCTCAGGGCCCTCTGGCAAAGGGGCTGCACTTATCACAGATACACAAGGCTCACACAGTGAGCTGGAGCTGGGACATGGACAGCAGAACAGTTACAAGCAAAGTGATTCCTGGTGCTAAGGATTTCAAGTTCTTTATGAGAAAGAGGAGAAATCTCAAAATGAACGCATTGTTCAGTGTTTTAAAAATACGTCTATTTCATGAAGTGATACTAGCGGTCTTTTATGTTGTCTTAAAAGACTAACTGTCTTCTAAGATGTTTTTGCTCCACCTCAGTTGTTATCCAATTGTGATCAAGAGAAATGTTCCTCAAAGTTAGGGCTCTAGGCTTTGCACCCGCTTGTCTGGCGTCACATGTGCAGGCTAGGTCTAGCTTAAACGTTCCAGTTCTGGCAGCTGGAGGTGTTAGGGGCAGTTACACATGCGTGCACAGTGTCACGTGTGAAGGTGCACCCTCTGCCATCAGACAGCAACCCTGCGCTCCACCGCTAGCCGAGCATGTGGGCTCCAGGGACACAACAGGATGCCTGCTCTCCCAGCAGTGTCACACAGCAGCGGGCAGTTTCATATGCCTGCGGTTTACACACTAGCTTTCATTCCCATAATCCAAGGAGAGTGTGGCAGCAGTACAAAATTCCTGATTAGAAAAGCAAGCTAGAGAGTCTGAAGGGGAAGCTTTGACCTCTTAAATTAAGTCCACATGGCTCCTGTGAAGTGAGAACATACCCACCCTGGCATCATTACTGCCCCTAATGCCTTGATGTGTAACGGTCGGCGGGAATCAGTCATTCCTGTCCTTTACAGTAGTTATTGCTCAACAATCTGGTCAGAGCGGAGCGTGAGCCACGGCTGCGAGGCTGGGCAAACACACTCCGACCACACGAGCGCACCTCTCGTGGCACTCAGACCCACAGGACACACCGTCAGCAGGGTACCAGGTTTGCCGCAGCAACAGCCTCGCCAACTCAGAAGCAGCAAGACTGGATTTCTTACTAAAATAAGACTGCTCTTTTTGTGTACTTTCTCCTTAAAATTAAGGCAATGAAATGGCTACAGTTCCTAAAGTTCTTTTTATGGAACAAAAATATACATGTATTTTCCTCCTCAAGTTCAGGCATCAGGGTTTGCTTAGAGACCTGTGTTACACAAAACCTGCGACACCAGCAGACATTACAAGAGAGCAGGAGTGAGCATCCCTGGGGAGGCCACAGACACCGCGGACGGTTCCTTCGAACCATGAAAGGGAAGAAAAAGCGCGAAAGCGCAAAACCTCTTGTGGATTCAATATCCTCTACCTCGATTCAAAACTTCTGGGGTGGTCGAGGAAGGAGCTTAGGACACTTGAGACTGCGAGGGCCCGCCAATGGGAGCTCTGGCTCCGAGGGCATCCGCTGGTCCAGCTCCCCAGTGACACAGTGGTCTACAGACAACGTCTGAGAACCTGCCAAGCAAGCGGCCATCTGATACTTCATGACAGAAGCCCTAGGCTTTGGCTAGCTACCTAGCGTTTGACAAAGGCAAAAGGCACTGACTAGGGAGTCCTGGTTCCCACACCTGTTTGCACATGTATGGAATCTCGTTTTGAAAATGTTAAGTCACCCTTCCAAACCTACAAGACAAGTATGAGCAATGTGGCTGGCCCTAACAGCAACGCTGGCTCGAGGCTGACCTCTCCCGTGTCACCACATTACAATCACACTGCCAGGCTCTCCAAAATCCCAAGTGGCCAAGGAACTGGGGGCAGGACAAGACTCAGTCACCTGTTAGCAAGCCAGGGCACTTTGCAGAAAGGGTCTGAATTAGGCATAGTTTTGTTCTTTATTTTACACACAGGAGCCCACCAACATTTGCCATAAACTCCTCTAAACTCTTCAGGAAGGCCATCTTCTGCTTCCGGTCCAGCGTAGGGGGCGTGCTGCTTGCAGTGAGCTTATTGAAAGCGTCTGCCAGTCTCTGGTAAATGACAGGGTCTTGTTGACTTGACAGTAATGTTTCCACCAATTCAGAATACTCAGCCTATTAAAGACAGAGAGAGAGCACATAAGAACAGCCTTCCTCAAACATGGGCGGGTCCTGGCGGTCCCCCTGGGCATGTCAGAAGCAGGGTCTGACAGCTCTTCCTAACCATCAGCATTTACTGAATGCTTGCCACAGACTAGGGACTGTTCCAACTTCCCACGAACGCTCACCTGTTAGAACCACCCTACGAGACAGGCACTGTGGATGCTCCTGTTTTTAGGTGACAGGTGGCAGTTCTCACACAGTGAGATCACGTCAGGGCTTTTGAGTGAGAATCCAGGCTGTTTGGATGCAGAAGCCACGTGATCACGTTTTGTTGTGTTACCACCTCTGTTTTCAAGCCACATTACCAATGTGTTCTGCATTTTGTATGTAACCTATGTCTGCAACCTGACTTCCAGTTTCCCAGAGGCTGCACACCAATACGGCAGGAGCTGTTGGGAATAGGCAGCAGAGCGGGAGGGTATACGTCGTCGGAACTCTGTCCATGTTGAAGGATGATGCCTGAATGACCATGCACGCAGCTGCCAGCCAGCACTGTGCCAGTGGCTCTGGGAGGGCGCAGGAGCTCGGGGCTCGGGCTAAGGAGATTCAACCAGCACAGCTTTCCAAGATAAGTTATCTTGAAAAAAGGCTGGTCTACCACCATTTTTCACTAGCTTCTTGTGATACCACAATGGTGAAACCAAACATCAACTACATTTGGAAAATAGAGGAGTAAGGTGCAGCACCCCACTCCCACCCACAGGCTGGAGCCAGAGTGGCTGCCCTAACTGCCCCCAAGGGACAGACCTGTTCATAGGCGAGAAAACAGAAATCGCTGTGCCCTCGCCCACCACAGGCCTGCTCTCTCTCCTACAAGGTGTGAAGGTTTGACAAGGTAACCAGCATGTACGGCTTGCATATGTGGGGACAAGAAGCCCCTCTTCCTAGTAAGAAACTGGAAGTCAGTGACAGAGGAAGGTCCTTAGTGACGTCCCGAGCACCTGCAGCTCGGGGACAGACAGTCCAGGAAGCCCGCCGGGCAGGGTCTTCAAGTGGTATGAAAACCACCCTGTAATCCTTTTTTTTTTAAAGGGGAAATAAAATGAAACCCTGAGCAGCAGTCACAGCAAACGCTACGGTCTTTACACTTAAAAATCAATGTCAGGGCTTCTCTAGCCAATCACTTGGTCATGCTGGGACATGTGGGGGGCAGGAGGAGGTTCTGGGAAACTGAGGCAGCTGATGACCAAATGTGATTCTTCTTGTACAGTTGATGGGCACTTACTCTACTGGGACAGGGAAGTGACACAGGTGACCCAGCATAACCTTAACCCAGTATCAGTGAGTGCTTGAGTCTCTAAAAGCTCAAACAAAAGAGAGGAAAGAAGACACACTGTTCATACTGTAATTGGCAGTAACACAGTGTGCTTTCCAGACTCTCTGAAGGCAGCATCCTCTGGGTCCTCAGGCTTACTCATCCTGTTTTCCTAACAAAACTGAGTTCCTCAGGGACAGAAAGCACGTCCTGTCATTCCCTGACATTGATGCCTGGTTCCTAGCACCGTGGTTCAAGGACATCCTCTAGGGCTGTGATCACGCAAACGACGGCTCACAGCGGTGCAGGGGATAAGTGCTTATAACTGACAGCCAGCTTGTCGGACAAGCATGCTATGAATGGGAAGTGAGGAAGAAGGGCCGCAGGAAACCAGCGCTGCAGCCTGAATCACAGGACGCCCGAGGTCTCGGTGCTGCCGGCCGAGTGCACGCCCCTCTGAGCGGTACCTGATGCAAGCACACCAGCGTGTAGAAGGCCTCGCTGGCCGCCGTCGTCATCTCCGTGTTGTGCTTCTGCAAAACCAGCATATCAAACGCCAGCTGAAAGGACACAGGGGACCTCTGAGTAAGACCCTCGCCGTCTAGCAGTCCCCCAGCTCCTCCCCATTCCATACTTATTAAATAAATCTGAAAACTAGAGAAAACGGGGTTTTAAAGCCAGTGAGACGATATAGATGCAATACTCCCTATAGTATAACAATCAAGTTATCAAACTCCCTGTGGTATTCACATTAGTTTTCAAGAGCACAAAACAGAAGTGGAGGGTTGTGTGTCAGAGTAATTGTTTCCTCGGCCATGAGAGAAGGTGAGCACTTCCTCATTTGAGAAATTTATGGGCACTGATGTAGACATTCAAGTGGGTGGTCCACGTGCCCCCCCAAGCCCTTTACCTTCAGGAAGTGCCGCGTGGCGAGGAACAGCGGGGAGTCTGTCTCCTGGGCCTTGGCACACTGCTCAGCCAGCGGTGTCAGAGCCTCCAGGCATAGCTGACAAACCTCTGAGCTCATCCTGATCACGAAGGTCAAAGAACAAACCACAGCAGACACACCTGACTTAGAGCTACTATCAGATGGCTGTTTCCAGACACTAATACAGGGAGTAAGTATATCAGCGCGATGTCTTCACTGAGTTATGTGAGAAGAGAAGACCCGCAAGATGTGGAGTCTGCAGCTGAAGACTTGCAGCGTGTTTCTTATCATGAGGCACACACCTGACAAAAAGCCCTGGTGTTCCCTACTGTCAGGGAGCTAAGATCAGGTGCTCAGCAACAGTGTATGACATTATTAACTGGGGCACTTAATAAAACAAGTGCTTTGGGGACCAGGGGCCCAAAGCTTCTGGGATCTGGGAAAGGACAACAAGATGAGACTAACAAAAAACCCCACAAAATTAAGGCAGTTATAGAGATGGAGGCTTTTTAAAGAAATAAAAACTGAACAGCAAAAGAAAAAAGAAAAACACGAATTTTAAAAACTTTTCTTCAGGTAGGCTCTCTCCCTCAAGTGACAAGTGACAATGATTTACATTTAAAGGATATGACGTCATTCCTAGTTCTAGGGAGTACATCAGACTTTTAAAAAGATCTTCAGGAAGCTGTGGTATTTTTTCAGGAAAGATCTCACAGATAAATGTGATTAATTTGTAGTATTGATTACAAAGGGTTGGAAACTGAAAAAGAAAAATTAAATATTTAGATGCTTCATAATATCTTTTCTATTTTCATTAATAAAGTAAAGTAATAACAGACAAGCTTCTAAATATAATGATTTCTTTAAAACACATACAAGATACAGAAAACACGAAGACCTAATTAAATGTAAAAATAAGTTAAATAAAGGGAATATTTTTGTAACTAATAGGAAGGTAATGCATAGAAATAATTATCTTCTGAGTAATTAATAAAAGCTACAACCAATTCCAGATAATTCTGTGTGTTTACCTGGAAAAAGTTAACAAAGCAGCCAAATCTCAAATTATTAAATGCCCCGAGAACAAACTGTTCTGCAAATGTGTTTATCTGCATTCAAGCGTGTTGGAAAACATGAGAAGGTAATACCAACTATTTCAAGTACTCATAGAACAGAGTAGTCAGCCATTCACACTCCTCGAATCTAATTTCTGGTTGGACAGACCTGCAGAACTAAGGTAAAAAGTAGGTGATCTAGTTTAACCTCACTTAAGAAAATACAAGTCTAAATGTTTAATGCTTTATTTGAAAAAAACAAAAAGCCCTTACAAGCCAATCACTACACAAGCTGACTAAACTGCTCCATCCTACAGGCTATGTATGAACCTGACTCATGGGTCACCAGGATCCTTCCCAACAGACATGTCTGTCGCAAGAGCCTGTGGTGACCGCCCGCCAGACTGAGACTCTGCAGCCCTTCCACCCAAGACACTCAACTTCCAAGTGCACCTCAGTCTCCCCATCTGCCTGTTTGCCTCCCACCACTGCACACACCCATGTCCTTGTTCCCACCCTCACCCTCCTGCAACAGCTGGTGAGAAGACTTGTAAGAAAGGGCAGCCTCATCACCCGCACCACGCCCCCACCTGCCAATTCTGACCAGTGAGAGACCTCGGAACAACGTAGTCAGAAGGTACAGAAATAAAAAGCTGTGTGATCGTGGTTCCCTAGCACCCCATTTCCATTGGCATGACCTGGAATTCCTTCTCTGCTTACCCCTCACTCTGAGAATGGTGTTCAAAAGGATCAGAGGCAGGTGTGGACCTACATGCCTGACTTACTTCACCTGCTTAACATCAAGCAGTGAGTGAGGTAAGAACGCAGCCTCGAGAGGAAGCACTGTTCCCGTCACTAGTGCCTCATGAACACAGGACTCTGGGCGGACCTGTGTCCTGAGCTGCAGACACAAGTGTAAACAACATGGGGCAGGGACGCAGATGCTCCACGTTCATGTATCATGTATACTTAGATAAGCGGGACCTCAGATAAAGGCATGTTCTTATCTGAACTCTCCGGGGGCCTGGAGTTCACACATTTCAATACTCACATCCACCTTCCTCAATTACCTTCAAGAGGTCTTGTGACATCAAGGGCAGGATGAGGTTCACCCCGTACAGAACCACGTCGGCTGCGGACACGGACCTGCCCGCCGCTTGTCCAGGATCATGGCCTCGGAACACCTCATCTGGTGAGACAGAGACAGTGTGTGCAGTCTGACAGCTGGAGCAGTGTGACATCGACATGCTGGATACATTCCTCCCTCACGATAAACAGACTCAACCCCCAAGCACAGGGACCCACAAGTGCACGGTGACACAGCTGGTAAGTGGCCCAGGGTCACCCTTCTGAATATCACTTTTTAGGGTCTCTGAGTACTTGATGCAGAAGACACTCTGTGTTCTACATTACTCATTATTCTACTAATGCTCAGTCAATACTGTAAAAAGCAAAATCTACTCCGCTGCATGCTGGTCACACTGTGAGCTAAATAATTTCCACAGTAATGCCTACTTTACTTCTTAGGGGACCCAGCTCTGGCCACCAGCTCTGCTCAGGGTTCCAGATGCAGGCAGGGGTCCATTTCCAGTTATGCTATTAATAGTTCCCCTAAGATGCTCATTTTACTTCACAATATTTGAAATATTTTATCTCACCTATTAACTTTATTTTAAAAATAATTACTTAAAATTATCATCTTCCCTTTACCATGTATTTTATCAGCTAATGCTGTTTATCATTTTCTATTTTAACTATCTTTGTTTTTCTTTCTTTTAAACTTCAACTCTATCTACCCTTATTCTTTTTTACCGTATGTTGTACTTTTAATCCTGAGTGTTTTAGCCCAACTTCTCTTCTTAATGTTTTATTGTGATTTTAAACTTTTTGTTTTTTTATTGTGAACACCTTCCATCACCTGTGTGTGCTCTACATTTGTCCTCAGAATGCGGGCAGGAGGATGTGCAACCTGCACCATCAACCTGGGAAGCTGCCGGGCATCTCCCTCCAAACACTTTTCAGTGTTAGTTCTTGACTCTGAGTCAGATCCTTCAGGGTGTGGGCTCTGGCCCCCGGTGCCTACACCCCCGGAAGCAACTGAAATGGTATGAAACTGCAGGCTGGTGCAACACGCACCTTTCCAGGGAAGGACTCAGTAACCACTTCAGGTTTTGAAGGCACCTGACCTAGAAAAGGTCAAGAACTGTTGGGTTAAGAAACACCAACCCGAAGGAATCAGGAAACATAGGGTAGCACCTGGGTGAGAGGTGGGCCTTGCCAGGTGGCAGTTGTGCTTTGGTCACTGAGGGGTGTGGGACAAGCCATTTCACCCAGGCACCTGGGCTGAATGCAAAGGAGTCAGCCTTCTAGACTGCGGTGGGTGGCGCCTGGCACAGCAAGGACCTTGTTCAGTGAGTAAGGAGGCAGGGAAAGAACCAAGTACCAGGAGACGCAGTAAAGTGGAAGGCCTGGCACCTAGCTGAGGAAGGGCCTCTCATAAGGAAGGCGTGCCCACGACAGCTGACGTCTGCACCACACGTGCCAGGAGCAACCTGACAGGACTCGTTCTTCTCTTAGAAAATGACATCTCATGTGAAGGCAAGGTGGGCAGCGGAATGAGACCGAGGTGAGGGGCACCGTCAATAAACAAGGTCTCAACCACTGGTGGCGTCCTTGCAGGCGGTAACAGCTCCCTCTGGCCTGCTGGCTACCGGCCACAGTGCCAGGCACCAGACAGACAGGCTCACAGCTCATGTGGATGACACTCTGGAAGGCCTCCCGACAGCAGGGCATGGTGAGGCTGGCCGAGGCCCCAGGGCTGTGCTGTCGGGGCGCCCCTGGGCGAGGTCTCCACAGAAGGACTGCGAACTCAAATTGAGTGCGTCCCACCCCGACAAGTGCCCCCACGCTGCACCCTGGGAGCGCCAGAGTTTCCCGGGGCAGCGCCACAGGGGCCTTAGAGGAAGCTCCACCAGCACAGTAAGTCTGGAGCTGGTGCCCTGGCGTGAAGCCAGGCCCTGTAACTTCCCAGCTCCGTGTCTGTGCACCAGTGATGTGACAACCTCCTGTGCCCCTTTGCTCGTCTGTCAAATGTGTGTGACAGTGGCACCGACTTCACGCCGCGGTGCTATAAGCAGTGCCTGGCGTTCAGGAAGCACCTCATCAACGGAGATACTATTATTATCAGAGGAGACCGAGCGGGGAGAGCCTGAGAGCCCAGCCTCACTTCACCCGCACAGATGACACCTGCATCTACTCTGTACATGGAACTTCCTCATAGGAGTTTATGGAACGAAAATCCTCCTTTACTTTAATAGAAATAAGGTCTGCCTCCGTGGTTGGCACCCTACCAGTATCACTGAAGTCTATGAACTCCTTGCTCAGAAGGTTGGTGAGCAGCTCCATGATGAGCAGCAGGTCTTGGTACTGCTCCTCCTCCGCTGTGACGTCTATCCGCTGGCGCCCCAGGTTATTCTTGGAGTACACTTGCAACAGAGTAAGGCAGGCCTCATACAGGTTCATGGCTTTGGACTGCAAGAAAGCACACACAGGTTATGTTCCTGGGTAAAACCTACTGGGAAGCAAGTCTAAACATTAAAGACATTTAAAAACATAATCTAGTAAATGGACTCTAAATCCCACTAGACAGATACTTGCTTCACACTATATTAAAACTAACAAAAACAAAAAAAGCATATACTGAAGATTAGTTATGTTTAAAGTATTAGCAGTTTTCTAATACAATTTGACATCCATTTTTCTGTTCATTTGACTAGAGAGATAATACTAGATAATAAGATTCAACAAACAGAACTGCTTTACTTCTTCCATAACAATGATAATTTTAAGATTTAAAACTTATGACTTGCAAAGGCACAGAGAACCAAACGGAAGTCGTAAACATTAGAATCAATGGCACTGGCCTGCCCCCTCAGTAATGCATCTGTGACTACATATATAGTATTTAAAATATAACCTCACTTTTGATCTGACAACAACTACAAATTAAATGATTTGGAACAAAATTTATGCTAATCTGCTAACATACATTTTTAAGATTGTTTTAAAACAGCTTTCTAAATAATCTAAAGGGCCAAAAAATACATCTTAGCTTATTGAATATAAAAGAAGTTAGTGTGTCTCAACACTCATCTGATTTACAAAGCAAAAGAAACAAACTGCCATTTGAAATTTTAAGCCTTAGAGTTCTACCAGAGAAACTGGTTAAAATTTTCTACCATAATTCTTTTGTTTTATCAAATATTCCTTATTTGGATGAATCTGAGTTAATAACATATTAGCCCTAAGACATTAACATATCTCTAGGACAAGAATTTATATTCATTCAATATGTCTTCCTCTGAATTCTGAGTTCTTTTAAAAACAGTCTTTTTGAAAATTCTTTTGGAGGCGTGCAAATACTTCAGATAATGTTCATTAAATCTGAAGTAAAGTATCTACTACTGTGTTACAGCTTTAGGGAGTTTTCATCCTGAGGATAAAACAGGAAGTGCTCACCTCTCCAAGATAGCATATCTGTTTATGTGCAACTTCAACAAAAACTTCTATGATGAGATTGACAGTCTCTGGGGTGTTTTTGTAAACTTCCATCAGCCCAATGCAGTTGGTAAGGAAGTCCATTAAAAAATTAAAAAGGATTGCTACGTTGTCAATCTGGGTAGCCTCTGCGATGCCACACAGGGCCTCAAGCGTCGTAGTGATTTCCTGCTTGACTTCTTCCTGCTGACACATCTGCTGGAAGTTCTCCTGATTTATCACTCTTAAGAACCGCTGCTGAAGTGGCTGAAGAACCTACGAAAAAGAAACACAAATTTTCTAAAAGGTCGATTCACATACCTCATTGATCTCTTCAACTTTATGACCCCAACTTGGAAAAATAGTCACTTTCCAAAACAGTTCTAATTGTTGGAGGTAGAAAAAGCACAGAAAACAAAGACTATTTGAACCCTACATTATATTCTCCCTTCTGGCAGAAAGAGAAACAACACACAATACACAAAAAGAGAATCCAAGTCACTAATCAGCAGAGAAATGCAAATCAAAGCCACCACAAGATATCACCTCAAACCTATCAGAATGGCCATAATCAAAAAGATGAGGTAACACGTGCTGGCAAGGATGTGGAGAAAAGGGAACCTTGTGCACTGCTGGTGAGAACAAAATGGTGCAGCCACTATGGACAACAGGATAGCAGTTCCTCAAAAACTTTCAATTAGAACTACCTTATGACCCAGCAATTCCACTTGGAATATATTCAGAGGAAATGAAAAACTCTAATTAGAAAAGATCCCTGCACCCCCATGGCCAAGTGGCCAAGACATGGAAACAGCCTGAGTGCCAGTTGATGAATGACTAGATACAGAAGTTGTGGTGTATGTGTCTATATATTTTAAATGCGCAAGTGCGCACACACACACTGGAATACTAATTCAGCCATAAAAAAAAAAAAAAAAAGGAAATCCTGCTGTTGCAACAACATGGATGGATCTAGAGGGTATTGTGCTGAGTGAAATAAGTCAGACAGAGAAAGACAGATGCCGTATGATCTCACTTATATGAGGAATCTGGTGTTTTTTTTTTAATAAAAAAACCCCCACAAAACCAACAAACTCATAGAAAAATTCGTTTTGTTTTCAAAGGTGGAGGTGGGGAGAGGGAGAATTGGAGGAAGATGGCCAAAAGGTATAAACTTCCAGTTACAATACACACAAGCTAGGGATGCGTTGCACAACACAGTGACTACAGCTAATTCTGCTATACGATATATAAAAAAGCTAAGAGAGTGGGCCGGCCGAGTGGCGCGTTGGTTAAGAGCTGGCTTGGGACGCCAGAGGGCCCTGGTTCGGATCCTACATATGAGGGCCAGTGACACTGCCCTCCACAGCTAAGATGCTGAACAACAGCTCAAACTGGAGCTGGGCTGCCATGAGTCGCCGGCGACGGCGCAGGCTGCAGCCCCTGCTGCAATGGGTTGCCATGGGCTAGGTACCGTGTGTAGCCAGCAGCCAACGTGAGCGGCCAGCAGCCACCATGAGAGGCCATCCAGAAGCCGGTGACTGATCTGCCTCACCCGGGAAGAGCGCAATGATGGTGCCAACTTGGGCCAGTGAAGCTCCTCCACAGCTAGGCTGAAGAACAAAAGGACAGCAACTTGTCTGTTCCCCTTCCCTGATTCCCCAATAAAAATCTTCAAAAAAAAAAAAAGAGCTAAAAGAGTAAATCCTAAGGGTTCTCATCACAAGGAAAAAAGTTTTTTTCATTTTTAACCTTTTCTTTTTATTGTATCTATATGAGATGATGGATGATAACTTATTGAGTAATCATTTCACAATATATATTTAAGTCAAACCATTATCCTGTACACCTTAAATGTATATTGTTGGTGCATGTCAATTACATCTCAATAAAAAAAAATATTTATGAAAAGCATAAGTGCATGCTTTCATCCTACCTCCTTAAGTAATTTAGTTAGAGAGAGAGAGAGAGAGAGAGAGAGAGAGAGAGAGAGAGAGAGAGAAGAAACCACAAATCACAGAACACAACTTCCTTAACACCATTCACAGAATTCTGCCACTATCTTCATCTCTTTCCAATAAAAAATTAAGCCTCCACAGTAGGGACTGGCAAACTATTTTCTGTAACGGGCCAGAGGGTAACTATTTTAACTTGGTAGGACACACTACCTCTGGCCCAACTACTCAGTTACGACTGCACTGTAGTGCAGAAGCAGCCAAAGACAAGATATAACAATTGAACGTGAACAGGTTTCAATAAAACTTTCTTTATAAAAGCAGAGAGCAGGCTGGTTTTGGTCTGTGGGCTACAGTTTGCCAACCTCTGTTCTACAAGGTCAAGCCCAACACAACCTCTTGCCTGTTTTTTTCCCTTTCCAACTCCTCTTACATAGAACATAACTTCTGATAACTAGTGCTGCCCTGGGTATAAGAGCGAATAGGCATATTCATGAAGGTAATATCTTAATTCTATTTAAAGCTGTATTATGGTAATACAATGATTCAGCCTGGTTTTCCATCTGGTCCCTTAGTCACACCTGCCTAATGTCTGCCCCTTCTCAAGCAAGGACTAAGGGTGGCAAGCTGCATATACTGGTAACGGCCGGTTCCCGATTTAAAGCTTATTTTTGAGACAACACCCCTGGTGGTTGTTAAGGGTTCACTTATGCCACCCCAAAGTTGGTATGTTGAAGTCCACACCCCTAGTACCTCAGAACATGCCCTAATGTGGAAATAGGGTTGTTTCAGATGTAATTAGTTAAATTAAGATGGGGTCATTAGGGTGGCCGGTAATCCAGTATGACTGGTGCCCTTACAAAGAGGGGACATTTGGACACAGACATGCAGACATGGAGAATGTCCCATGAAGATGGAGGCAGAGATGGGGTGATGACAAGCCAAGGAACACGGAAGACTGCCTGAAGACCACCAGAAGCTGGGCGGAGGCTAGAAAGTCTCCCCTGCAGCCTCGGGGAGAACCAGCCTGCCAAGACCTGGACCTCAGGCATCCAGCCTCCAGACTTGGGAGACGACAACACACTTGTGTTGTTGAAGCCACTACATTTGCGGTATTCTGTCACAGCAACCTAGCAAACCAATACAGTGGTTAATTCATATCTTTTTGTTCAAGACAAGTTACAGCTCACTGATCATTGATGAAGAATTAATGTACTAGTTCAGGCTCTCATCTGAGTTGGGGAAAATGTGCCTCAACTGTGGAACACTTGATAACATTCAATATCATCACATCAGCAGGTATGGGCAAATCATAAGATATTTGTGAAATAATAAGCTCCAACCTACTCATTAGGAGGAAAAAATGTCAGAACAGCCATGACTAACACAGTTATGTCTCCACAGACCATTCTCTGGCAACACATACACAAATCAAGTAGTTACACAAGAGGGAGCAATGAAAACAAGAAATTATCACCTCAGTCCAATACTGCTGTTTGGTCTCTGTGTCCATATGTGCAAAACCTCCCAAGACAAGGGCCTTCATCAGCGTCCTCTGCACCGGACTGGACAGGAAATTCAGAGGGGGGCTTCGGCTGGCAAACTGCTTAGCTAAGTTCCACCAGTTCTCACACTGGATTACCAAGTTGGCCCTGTGAGAATAAACAACAAAATACAAGATGCATTACTTACACTGTATGTTGACTAAGTAAACCAAAATGGGAGTGGTTGGATTTAAATATTTTTAAAGTGCAGTAAACTTGGCAAAGATTTTGGAATCCCATACCTTGCATTCAAATCCCATTGGTAATCTGACAATGTAAAATGTACTTAATCTCTCTGATCTGTAAAGTAAGGATAACAATAGCAATTACAGCCCCATATCTCATGGCAGAGACTGATGTCACTAAATGAGATACTCTACATGAAATGCTTGGAACAGTGCCTAGTAAACTATAAGAATTTAATAATTCATAGCCAATGACAATAGTAATAACAATAATGATATTCCTATGCAGTAGGAAAAAATGAAAACATTTCCAGAATTTGCTGTAAAAAGCACTACAAATTTTATTATACTTTGCAAAATTAAATTAAATTAAATAATTAAAGTATCAGTTTTTCTCATCTTAAAAATGCAGTAATACTAATAGGATACGTGAAAAGTCAAATGAGACTGTTCTATATTAAAGTGCTTTTAAAACTTTAATTTCTAAATAAATTACTAAACTAAACATGTTACTCATAAGATACTCTGATGCCAAATCCTGAACAGTAGAGGCCATCCTCATTTGTAACAGGGGAGGGACCTACCTGCTTTTGTAACAATATGACATTGCTTGTTAAGCACAGTGCTCCGAAAATGCAAGGTCTATCTGGAACTTACGACCTTGTAATTGTTTTGAAAAGGCAATTTTCAAAAAACAAAAAACAAACACACACACACACACACACACACACACACACACACACACACACACACACGGAGTCTGCCTCTTGCAACCCAGTCAGCTTACCTCTCTCTTCTTTCCACCAAGGTGACAAGGAGCTGCACGGTGTCGTTTGCGAGGTCCTGCTCACTGCTCCACACCGAGAGATTGCTGATGACTTTCTGTAAGAGGTAGCCAACAATCCACTGAGAACCCTCCGTGTCTGCTCCAAATGCTGTGCTGAATGGCAAACTTATCTTAAGAGAGAAAACAATCTTTTTTAGGCCAGGAAAAACGATCAGCTGAAAAAAAATCCATAGGAAAAATCAAACTAAAATGAGCGTCTAAATATGAACTACTGCTTACTTCACGTCAATTTCAGAAATGAATTCATTTCTGTTAAGTCCAAAAGAGACATCCTCGATCCACTTAGTTTTCCTGTCAGCTTTAATCATTGTTATTAACACACTAACATGGTCTTTATACCACATACAAAGAGCATAAACTGACCCATTCTCAAATAGCAATCTGTAACTAAATATAGGTTAAAATAAGCTCAGACGATATGCTCTAAGAGAGGTTATTAGAATAACATGCCACTCATACAGCTGTCTTCAACGTGGAGAACATCCATTCAGCGCTTAGTCACATTTTGACGAGAAAACCACTAAGAAAAATGTCCTCGTTTTTACAACTGCCATCATCGTGAACACAAACAAAGTCTAGCAGCTTCGCGTTCTGACCTGATCATACAGCTTCTCATCCACCAGCAGGTAAGTCTTGGCCCAGCGCTTCAGGAACCAGACAATGTCTTTCCCCATCTGAGGGCTCAGCAGGTGAGTGAGGTCTGCTCTGATTGCCCGAGACTCAACTTCTGAAACTCTCAGAATGGCAGATAACAGCCTGCGGGATAAAAGAAAAGTCCTTCATTCTCTGTGCTACTTGTTGGCGGTCTAACCTACCGTCTTCATTAAAGTCCCTTTTTGTATCTCAACTCCCTGGATTCAGGCCAGGCTACACTTGACATTTTCATCAGTCAGGTTGCAGACAAATGCCCCACTATTGCTGACTGTTCGGGAAATAGTAAATGAGACAGAGCGAGCAAGGGGAGTCGTGGCCAGACTCTCAGTCTGTTGAAGTTGTACCCGCATTATCATCTTAGGAGATTTTTTAGGTGTAAGATGTAGAAGTACATAAAATCAAAAGTTCAGCACAAACGCTAAAGCCTTCAGCCCGCCATCCCTACCTCCTTCTGCAATGGCTGGCACTGACTGTCTTCATGGATTGGTTTTATGGTACAGGGTCTGGTAAGTAACTGACTGCCACACATTCTGAATAGTCTTGTCTCTAAACCTGATATTCCCATTTATTTCCTAACAAACTTGATTCTTAACGGTATTTTAAAATAAAAATGTTGCATGCACTGTCCTTTCCTACGTCACATAACTCATGGCTGTGTGGTGTTAATACAGCATGATGTTCTGGGGTGGGAGGAGGGGGCGCATAAGCAGAAGGGGATACATTTAACTTGACTTCAGCTAAAAGGCACAGAAGCAAGGACTGACTGGAAAAAAGCATTATCACATGATCACCGTGAGTATGAGCGCCAGGACAGGGACTCTCATCCCCTACGGTCTGCCTTCTCTCTTCCCTGCTGCTCCAAGGTGGCTGACATTGTCTGCTTGTGATGGAATCTCATGGGCAGGCTTCAGTTCTTTCTCCACCTGACCGTCTCATGCAGCTGGGCCCTACTGACCACACTGCCCTTCTGAGATGTCCCCTGGCACTGCACTCCCATGTCCCCACTCTGTTTCTTACTCTCTCCCAGTCTGATATCCTCCTAGTCGGCTGATTTCTTCACACAGGCGGTCTGTAAGGTTCTGCTGCGAACCCCTTTTTTCACTATACATACTCCCAATACCACTAGTGCTCACACTTTAAAAAATGATTTTAGGGTGTATGTGAACAAAAATACCCTAACGACCTCACAATACATTTAAATTGATGTATCAGATTTATCCCATGAAAGTAATAGTTTTAAATGACATTAACTTGCAGCCTAACAGAATTTGAAATAAAGTTACAGTTACTTAAATTTATGCACTGGGATCTAATTAGCATAGTGTTGTGATACCCATCATCATCCATTTGAAAAATAAACAAGTTGGAAATTTTACATTGTTTCCTTAAATTTTAATTTCATAGAATATTATCCTAATATAATAAGTTTTTATACATATTTTATTGATCACACCACATACTTCTCTGAAATAAATGTCTAGATACTGAAATATGATATAAAAAATTTCCAATGATCATAAGACTTTCTAAAATGTCTTCTGGATTCAGCTATCATTACAATATGTATTAGTACACAATTGAGCAAAATATAACAGAAATTGAATAAAGTATTAAACATAAGTATAAAATTTTATACATCTCTGAATGAGATTAACGTAGCAGGGTTTCATTTTTTCAAATTAGCTCATGAATCTGTGGAAAAATATTACTTATTGCTAAAAGGTGACAGAGTTAAGTATAATTTGACTCCTGTTTTTCATATTTTGATAACTATATGCACCCAGAAAACTTGTTCACCTAACTACATGGAATGCATTTTTAAAACAGCAGGGTCCCATGAGTATTTGAACTTCCAAGTTGTATGTCAAAAATCACAGAGATCTACCATCAGAAATAAGTTTTAATAATCTGGTAACTGACAACATGATTAGGTCCCTCTCCAGTGTTATTTAAAGCAAAGGAATGAAAACCTCCTGTCGTGCAAAGTGACTGGTCCTCCTTCTCAGCCCCTCATCACTCCCTACCTGGAACTGCCCTCTTATTTGGCACACTGCAGGTTTCACACCTGCCCACCCACCACAGTGAGACTCCGCATGAGGGAGAGCTGTGGCCTTCTTTGTAAAGTGGCAGCAAGGTAAGAGGACAAGCACCAGACAGGTAAACCTGCAGCTCCCTGGAAGCCTGTGTTCACTCCTCCCTCTGTCCTTGTCATCGTACTCACAAGAAGCAGCGTGTCCTAGAGCTGCCCCTACATAGCCATCCGCCCTTCCACCTTCACTCCGCCACTAAGGACGGCGCTCCCGCACTTACCTGTCATCCTCTAATCCATCCTCTACACTGGAACCCTCCTACAGCAATCTGACCAGTTCCCCCCGATCCCCCTTCCAGAGCCTTCTCACTCCTCGGTGAGCAGCTCCACAGCGCCCATCTGACTTCTCCGTCCCCATCAGACACCTTCCCCATGCTACTGTCAGTGCTTGGGCACCCTTCGCCTCCTACCATCTCTTCCAGGAGCCCTGCCGTGGTCCTCCCCTGCCACAGCCTCGTTGAACCCGGACGCATCTCCCACACTCTCACCACGCTTCTGTGGTACCCTCAGATCCTGGCACCTTGAGCGGTCGAAGAATGAGCCAATGACGACGTCACACTACTGCATTAGTGGCTGCTGTCCCAAGGTGAACACCTGGTCCTATTCAGTTTCTTCAGCATGCTTTGGGAACATATTTTGTATTCCAGGCAGCACTCAGGGTCCCATATCCAGTCTTGGCATTATGGGAAATCCTGGATCACCTTGCATTTCATAGACCCACAGTCAGCATGGTGCGCTAGCTTTCCCTAACTCTCATGACCTCGTCATCACCCAGGCTGGGCCAGCATCTTCTCTGGGTGACTGAATTGAGCTCCTGCTCCCACCTCGGCCCAATACTTCTCTCTCAGTGCAGCAGACTAAGCTCCTTGGCTCACATCCGACACAAGCACCCCACGTATCAAAGCAGAGACTACAAAGACCTGAGCCAGCACTGATGTCCCTCCATCCCCGCTTCCCATTACTGTGTCCACAGCGGCCTCGGCACGGCTGTTCCCCAACCTCCAGGGCCCTTGCCCATTCCAGCTGTGGCTCACCAGACCTCATCACACTGTGAAGTCATTATGGTCCCTGGGCCTGCACACCTGACCCCACCCTGCTCATCTCCTTCCAACAAGTGGTCCCCTGACATGCTACATAAGGAACTTAGTTAGCATCTCTCCCCTACAACAAGCTTGCAAAGGGAAGCGATGTGGGTCTGTTTTCTCACTGGTGTATCCCAAATCCTGGAATAGAGCCCGCTACAAAGGAGGAGCTCAATCACCATCTGTTAAAAAACCACTTCTTCAATGTGAGCTTGGTCAAACATTTAGTCGAACATTTAGTCGAACAAGGAGTGTTTCTCCCATATCCCATTCAGCTTCGCATTAATTCTTTGGACTAAAACAAACAAACAAACAAACAAACAAACAAACAAACAAACAAATGCAAAACCAAGTGGCAATGTTGTTGGTGGGTGTTCCAACCCTCACCTCAGCCCTCTATAGTCTGTGCTCTCACATACCACAATGTTTTGCTCCCCCGGTGATACCTGGGACTGGCAAAAATTGAAAACACACTGAAAATACAAGGAAAGCACTGCTAATGACACTGCCCAGCAAGAAATATGACACAGAGTATCATGTGACAATGCCCAGAAAGACCGTTCACCATGAATCAAAGCAAAGCAGAGCGATGGGTTCCAGACACTCAATCTAAGGCCTACAGTCTCCCAAGGAAGGGAGGAAACTGTTCCAAGAGCACTGGTATTTTATTTCAAACAAAAGAATGCAGCAATAAAGGAATAAATCCCCAAATATTATCTTGCTAGTAACAGTTCATTTTTTTAAACACTCGTCTATTTTCTACTGCACAGGTTTAAATGACACCCACGTATTTTGGCATTAAAATAAAAAGAGTGAGGGGGACAGCACCCATCCTGTTGGAGTTACTGATTTTGCAATTCACAAAAACCAGTGGTATTTTATTACTGCTACCTCTGCCTGCAACCGGAAGTTAAAGCACTGAAATTAAAAAAATCTGAAGTGCTGTTTTCTAGGAGGATGTCCAGTCGGCGTAAGCCTCTCCTTAATGTCACCATTAAGGATTAATAAGAAAGTGGCCATTGCTGTTAAGAAGAGGAAGAGAATTCTCTCATTTGAGGCATAGTCTCATAGCTTTACTGGCAGGCTCTCCGTTTCACATATTCACCAGGGCAAATATTTCTACTGTGTAAGACAGGATCACAGTTTCCCTTAAGTAAGACACTGACGTTTAGTTTTAGCATCATGAACCACAGGCTTGTTAGCGTGCATCTGGCTGCTGAGAACCACCCATGTTTTGGTTCTGCACTCAGGGCTCCTGCCCCACCTCAGCATGGCTTGCTGACGGATGAACGAGGGAGATGGTCAGAGTGCAGTACACTGGGGTGAATGTCCCCCCAGAGGCTCACTGTATTCAGAATCCCGGACGTCTGTCCCCCTCAGGACTGGGCATGGCTGTCAGGCTCACCAGGGGGGTGCTGCTTAAATACACTGGGTCCTTGCCGTCCTTGTTTACGTCAAGACTTCTCCAAGTTTTCTCTTCTTTCATGAATGAGAGAGACTGACAACGTGCCTAACACTCAAGTCATCTACCCATCAACTCAGAATTTATAAAACAGTATAAATTATAAGAGCACAGCTATAGAGTTCATATTACCTAATCACAGAATCTGTTCTGTTGTACCCTGGGATGGAAGAAGCTTTTTCTCCTGGAGATCCCAAAATTTGAAGTGTTGTATTAATGTCAACTTCAGATGAGTGCTTAATGGAATATTCCATTATTTCTGGAGGTATTAGCGGAGTCTCTCCCTGAGTATCATCAGCTAAGAGGTAGCCTTCAGTTTAAAAAAAATTAAAAACGAACACTTAACAAATCTACAGTTATCAAATTGCACTACAAATGTTTTCAGTCTTATTTGATTTATATACATCATATAAATTGATGTAAAAGTAAATCATAAATTTAATATATTCATTCCAAGTTTGATGAGAAGACGTTTTATTTCTTAGATAATTAACTCTCAAAAAACAGGAAAGGACAAAGGACAGATGTTTTAGTCAACAATTTTATAACTCATACTGACATGTAGGCTTTTTAATATACTACCTTTTAATAATTTTCAGTAATATATTCTGTAAAGTTAGTAGGAATTCTATTATTATCTATATGAAAAGTCAATATTTGGGAATGTTTTTTCAAAACTTAGTATTTCTTTCATGATTATTTACAATACAGAAACACTGACAGTACGGCTACGGAAGAAGACTCTAAAAGCCAGACTGCCAAGACCTGCATCTGGTCCGACATTACCATGGGCCACCACGGGCTGACTACTTACAACTAGGTCTCAGCCTCTCCATTTATAAGATGGGACAGCAACAATGACAACAATAATACCTAATAACAGTACTAGCTCCGTGTGCTACAAGGAGCTCCACATAAAACACTTGGTATGCAATAGGCACTGAATACATGTTAGCTGCTAGTTTTTAAAAACACATCCGTAGCTGTAACATACAGCAGCTGACTCCATATTTCCTCTAATAGTAGGTATGGGCTATTGTTTTTAACTCATAAAGCTTCTTTTAAGGCCTAAATTGCTCAGCTGGCAATCACATTTTAAAAAGAAATACCCAACCAACCTGTAACTAAAATAAGCCAGTGAATGTCTTCGTACAGATCATCAAGCATTTTGTTGTCGATGGTGCCAGAGCCGGGAGAAGCTAGTAGGTGCTGCTGATGACGCTGCAACTGGCCATGGAGCCTCGTCACCCTTTCTTCTAACAAACTACAGGAGGGCAAAAACAACGGCTTCAGAAAGTTCAGTAAGCAGCACCTAGAATGACTTATAACTCCCATGTGTTAGACCACATAAATGAAGATGTTAGCACAAACACACAAATACAGGAGTCTTTATTATATTATAGCTCGCAACTCTTCTCAAAGCACTACAGGAACTGTCATTTATCGTTTATGTCACAGAATTAAAACACTGCTTTAGAAACAATCAAGGCTTACAACAGGCATTTGGAAACTGGTATTCCAAGTGTTTATGATACAGCTCAAATCATGTGTCATCCCATGCTTTCCATAACCTGTCTGCCACCTATGCTGCAGTGCTTTGGCTTCAATGTACAAGCCAAGAAATGCAACCAGGAGTTTGTCTGTCTGCTTGCTCCAGTGTGCTAGGTGCGGGTGGGGGTGCTTAAAATCTCTAGCTCTGTGGCATGTTTGCACCATGGGTCTCTGTGGCAGTGTGTACCTTGTCAGGAGAGGCATGCAGTGCTCGGCAGCAATTCTTCCCAGCATCCCCACACTGGCTAGCTGATCTGAAAACTGGTCTCGATCATCCTCTTGCAGCTCACTGATTTCTTCCTCCTCACGAGAGGCCACACCATTGGCAGTCTGTTATGGATGAGAGAGAGAGAAAGTGAGCGGCTGCACTCTTCTGTCCCACACCACATGTTTCCATTGTGAAACAACCCGGGCACTCCACACAAGCAGGGAGCTGGACAGAGCCACCCTTTAGGTCATCCGTCTAAGGACTCCTATCTAACTATGCCGACAGCCCTGGAGGCACCAGAAAGGGGGAAAACAGAAGAGAAAGAAGTGAAGGATATGACCCCATAGCACACATGGTAAACCAGTTAACCACACACCCACACTGGACAATTGAACTTCTGTCACTGAAAAGATCCATGGCCCTTGGGCACAAGAAGTCACTCATACCACATGACAACTAGGGAGACACAGGTGGTAAATGAAAACCAAAGAAACGGAGATAACTACCGGTCACATCCCACAAACAGGGTACATTTAGATAAGGGGACCACTTCTGCTGTTCATCCAATGCTCTCAGCAAACCTTCTCAAGAAGCTCATCTTGAATTTCCAGCATTATACAATATACAACAGGGTAAAACAGGTTAAGATAGAGCCTATGATGAGACAGACGTCCTTACAATCCAGCTTAAAACTTACCAAATTCCTTGTGCCGTCTGGAGCGGCCAGGTGGCATTGAATGTAGGAGTTGAAGACTTGAACTGCATGCTGGGTAAAAAAGCCTTTATGGAAATGTTTGTCATCTTGGACCAAAGTCAGCCAGGACTCCAGCAACTTGTCATATGCTTCCATGTATACCATGTCATCTTTATCAAGCTAAGAGAAAGGAAGATTCATAAAGCGATGGCCAGAGAAAGAAGACGGGCATTACAAGAGTCACATAGCTAAGCATACAATTTTATATGTTTTTCCTTTAACAACATCCCCAATTATTATTCAGTAATTGAGCTGAGTTTGTTCTAAAAGTAACTGATCAACTCAAACATTGCAGTAAAAATGGGTAGGCTTTTTATTAAACTATCTAAAAATTTTCTAACTTCATCTAAATAATCCTTCGGCAAAACGAATTAATGTTTATTTTTTTAAGAAGACTAGCTGTTCAGTGCTTTGTGGAACATGTATTTTTCAAATAAAAATAACATTAACATTTTTTCTGTAGTCAAAAAGAGAAGTGTTAGAATGAAAGATAAAACGTGTACTTACTACACACTTTTAATGACTTTTGAAAGATGAGAGAATGATGAAAACAGACTAGCCTGAGCAGCATATTTAAGAATGCGCTCCTTATCATTTGATCCCGTTTTGAAGCAGCAGGAATGGGGCCTACGCGGGGGTCTGAGGATGGCAGGAGGGCACCAGGAGCCAGCCAGCAACACAGACAGAGGGAAACTACCAGTCACTCAGGTCTGGACAATCAGGATCTCACCACATGCAGGCTGTGAGCAAACCTCATTTCCAGGCGAAGTACTCTGCCCTACTGAGGGGAAGGGCCCCACACAGGGGTTAAAGGACACGCTAAGGGCTCAAAGTGTTCCCCATGTCACTTAACTTTCTCACCCGCTAGTAAGAATCCATATCCTAATTCTGCCATTAATTAATAATCTGGACACATAATTTCATCTGTTTCAATTTCTTCACCCACAAATTCACCACACTATTCAATGAAACTCAAAATACTTAGTGTCAAGCACTATGCTTTGTGTCAAAACACAATCATGTACCATTCGAGCTCAGTCCAGTGGGGAAGAGTGGAAAGCCAACAAAAAATGACAGAAAACACACTAAAGGCTATAGACACTCGTTTCGGGGTCGGTTTTTAACTAGGCCATCTTTCATAAATACTTTGTTACAAACAAAGCAGTCTCTGAATTATGACTTCATTCTTACAAAGGTTGTGGCACAACCCACGATTTCTGACACTCGGTCAGTAGGCAGTGACCCAGGCACAAGGAAGGTCTGCAGACCTAATCTGTAACTTGCCGACAGACAGTTCTCACCTACAAATACAGAACTCTAGGACCATCATCAGAGATGACATTCTAAAACTGGCATTCTAGCAATTTGTCAAGAATAAAAAAGAAAGACACGGGAAGAGCTTAGGCAAGTGGTCCCGATTCGGCCAGGCCACAGCTCGTGACACCTAAGCACCTGCGTGAGCTGCTTCCAGTGACTCATTTTCTTAGGCCTTCCTTCAGCTTTTACTAACCCACAGTATACACAAGCAAACAGTCGCTTTCTGGGTCAAACAGGCCTGACAAGATTTAAAAAATATTTTTAAGTCGTTTTATGAAAAATTTACTAAGAATGAAGGAAAACTTAAAGGAACTTCATTAGGTAATTTTAATTAGACTTTAAACAGAGCAAACCCAATTTCTATTCCATATTTTCCTGGCCTTGAAAGTATACACAGTAAGTCCTTGCATAATGTCGTCAGTAGGTTCTGGAACTTTAAGTGAAACCAGGTTTAAAGAAACAAATGTTACAAACACAGGCTAACTGATAGAAATGAGTTAAATTCCTACCACCTATCTCATCAACATTGCAGCGAAATGACGCTGACCGAAACAATGTTACTGGAGAGCCTGCTGTGTACCGAAAATGGACGACCTTTAAATGGAACTGCCTGGGATGCCTGCATCATATAAGCAGTCAGTGCTTCTCACTCGCGGTATTTACGTTTCCCATTCATGGATGCAGGGTGAGGTTCCTTGTCTGGTCACTATGCTGTCACTGTGTACAGGTGGCCACATCAATACAGAACCGTGTTTTACGTGTTTGTTCACACCCCTTATTCAATGTACATTTGGAATTTGTCGCCAAGGAACCGGAGGCCACCAGTACTCGAGCTATTTGCTCCCCAGGGGACGTCATAGCCCTCCTGCATGCAGGAGCACCAGACAGCATGCAGCCCCATGCTCAGGGGCATTTCAAACAGCGAAGTCACCCAGTCAGTCCCTGCACAGGAAGAACTTCAGTATTCCATGACAAAAGTGTGGAATATTCCATTTTGCACAAAAATGCAGAAAAGGTCAAACTGGACACGGGAAACGGACCCGTTTACAGTACGAAGGCAGTGTGTCCACTTGTGTGACCTCAGCTGGGAACAAGCGTGCCAGAAGAGGCAGATTTTCATCACTCTTTGCAGGCACCTGTCAGGAATGACTCAAAGTGCCACAAGTGCTGATACTGGGGTTACAAACAGATTCAATAAGGGGCGGATTTGCATATATGGAATCTGCAATCAAGGAGGCCCCACTGTACTTGTACAATCTATCTGTCTCTAACAGGTTCTGACTCACTAACGCCAGCCTTTCCTATTCGTTATCACCAACTGCACTGCATTCTGAAAACTTCGACGGCTCATGATTTTACTGAAGGACAGCCATGTTCTTGGCTCCATACATGCAGTAACATGTCACTTAGATTTATAAATACCAATGAAAATGAGCACTTCAAGCAATTTTTTCATTTCTACATCATTTATTTCCTCCCAATCACCTATGTTCATACTGCTTTCAGCATTAATTAAATCCACATGACGATTTTGTTGGATGAACATAAAAAAAGATGAACACTGTCAACATCTTTTAGCAGAATGTGACAACGGTCCAAATTTGTCACAAAATATTTGGTGAGGTTTCCCCATGCTGATGAGAATGCCATATATTCTCTTTGTCTTTGGAAATACAATGTTTCTTGGGTATTGTTTGAGAAAATGTATCTAGGATATCATCAGCTACAACTCAGTCTCAGATATCACTTATATTATTGATTTCACCATCAGTCTTAAAGGGTAGAGTGCTGCTGTCTATTTACAATCACCTTCTAATTTGCTTTCTCACTGTGAAATGTCTTATCCTGGCAATTTCCTTCTCTTATTACTATGGGCAGAAAATGAAAAATTCCTAATTCCAAACAGTATCTAATGAAACTTTAGAAAAACAAACAAAGAAACAAAAACAAAAACAAAAAAAACCAGACTTAAAAGATGGTATCTCCAGACTTCTTTTGTAGGCTTCTTGAAAGATCATGCCATACTGGAAAATACACGAAAGCTGAAAAATAATGAACAGTAGCTATTTATTTTATTTGTAGAGATGCATTTCACTGTTATGTCATCCTTGTTGGTGATTCCATCATTCCTCCATTTTCGTATTATTTTAACCTTTTTAAAAATTATTATTACAGGTGGGATTTGATAAGTAATGGTGAAATACCTCATAAGGTCATGAAATAGAAAAATATTTCAAGGTACAGGAGAAATCAGATCTCTAAGGCCCGTAATGTGTTTCAGACTTACAGAAGAGTCTGATGTATCCATCAGGTAACAAGATAGTAAATGCTCTTTTTGTTCTAAGGTCTCCAAGAAGAATAAAAGTCATGAAAATCAATGTTTAAAATAGAACTGTTCAAAAGAGGAATTAAAAAACAAGCCCCTGGTAGTATACTAAGGGTTCAAGATTGTTGTGACAAAGAGTCAAACGAAATCTGGTCAAGCATTGTCTGTCGTCATGGGATTCAGGATTCTGTATCATTCTCTGTCTCCTACATGAAGCTTTGCAAGAGATTCTTTTTCTATTTCATTCTATTTTATTTTTACTTACTAAGGAAAAACTCCTGAGAAGCAGGTATGCTCCCTCTTTTTGCACGAGGTTTTCTTAAGGAACTGCACCGCCCATCCCATCCCACCCCACCCCGAGACCTTCAAATGTGCATTTACAAAGCCTTCTTTTATACGGATAAGCTTATAGCTTGTATGCCAAGATTGTTCTTTTTCTCCAGTTTTGACTTTCTACTCTTCGTTTTAAACAATTATTTCTTTTTTTTTTTTTTTTTTTAGCTGAGCCATCCTGCCACCTGTTGGCAGCTCAGCGGCAGCTCAGCTTGGGCCGGGACTCGAACCTCTGTTGCTCAGAGCTCACACTCTTGAGCAAGCTCTTAACCAACTGAGCCACTCAGCCGGCCCTCAATTATTTCATTTTTAATGTTCTTTTTATAAGCCACCAGAAATCTTGTAGGAAACAAAGAGGGCTATGAAAACATAAAATAACCCCTAAATAGTTTCAACTGCTATGCCCATTACCTTTCCTCTTTCTCTCTAGGACATGCCTACACTTCTAAAGCCTGCCTGGGTCACAGAGGAGCAGCTGTGAAAAGAGGCCTTATGTGTAACAAGACACCATTTGAAGGGTTAATTGAAAATGAAACTGAATTAATGTCTACTAACAGGAGTCATATGGTGATTTATCTATAAGAATGTTTGCTGCAGCATTGTTTAAAGGGTGCAAATAATTTATTGAACCATTCCCCTAATCTTTTACATTAAAAACTGATTTCTAGCACCAATTAATGACTTAAGAAAATGCTCATACTACTATAAATAAAAAGTAATGGTTTTCCTTTTATTAAAGTCTAATTGGTATGCCTTAAAATCTGGGAAAAAAATACATAAAAAATAGTAGGAACAGGTCTCAGAAGGTAAAAAAAACTACAAGTGATTTTGTTTACTTCTAATTTTTTGCTTTCTCAAAACAAACAAAAAAACAGTAAGTATGAAATGTCCATAGTTGAGGGGAAAAGGTATTATATAGCTCCATGTGTGAATAAAGAGATGACAAGAAAGTGACAAGTAATGGGATTTTTGGAGAATTTTAACTTTATGTGCTGTTTGAATTACTTTTACATTATATGAATGAAATATTTCACAATCAGCATTCAACACTGTACAATAAGAAAAAGAAATAAAAATTGTGAAGACTGAAATGAAGCAAAAGTGTCATTATTCACAGATGATATAATTATCCACAGAAGATTTG